ATTGCTAATATGTGCTGGATTATGGAGAAAGCCAGAGAGTTCCAGAAAAACATCTGCTTCTGCTTCATTGACTACGCAAAGGCCTTTGACTGTGTGGACCACAACAAACTATGGCAAGTTCTTCAAGAAATGGGAGTGCCTGATCACCTTATCTATCTCCTGAGAAATCTATACAGAAGACATCAAGACTTACGAATGGCCCTAGTTACGAACATTTCGACATACGAACCGCTCTCATAGGAATATATGGACTCGACTTGCGAAGTTAGATTCGAGTTACGAACTCTTTTCTTTCCCTTTTTAAAAACTTAAGTCATCTTAGATTAAAAGAAAAAAAGAAAGAAATCTGCCCCTAGTGGTAGGAACGGATTGACCAGCTTTGCATTGGTTCCTATGGGAACTAATGATTCGAGTTACAAACTGCCCCTCGACCTAAGAACCAAAAACAGCTGGAACGGATTAATTGGTTTTCAGTGCATTCCTATGGGAAATACTGATTTGAGTTACAAACTTTTTGACTTACAAACTTCCTTCCGGAACGGATTTAGTTTGTAAGTCGAGGGTTGACTGTATGTAGGATAGGAAGCAGCAGTTAGAATTGGATATGGAACAACTGATTGGTTCAAAATTGGGAAAGGATTACAACAAGGCTGTATATTGTCTCCCTGCTTATTTAACTTATATGCAGAATACATCATGCGAAAGGCAGGATTGGATGAATCCCAAGCCGGAATTAAGATTGTCAGAAGAAATATCAACAACCTCAGATATGCAGATGATACCACTCTGATGGCAGAAAGTGAGGAGGAATTAAAGAACTTCTTAATGAGGGTGAAAGAGGAGAGCGCAAAAAATGGTCTGAAGCTCAACATAAAAACAAAATTAAGATCATGGCCACTGGTCCCATCACCTCCTGGCAAATGGAAGGTGAAGACATGGAGGCAGTGACAGATTTTACTTTTGCATTGTGGTGCTGGATTTGACTTTTGAGTGTCCCCTGGACTGCAAGGAGAACAAACCTATCCATTTTGAAGGAAATCAACCCTGAGTGTTCACTGGAAGGACAGATCCTGAAGCTGAGGCTCCAAGACTTTGGCCATCTCATGAGAAGAGAAGACTTTCTGGAAAAGACTCTGATGTTGGGAAAGAGTGAAGGCAAGAGGAGAAGGGGACGACAGAGGACAAGATGGTTGGACAGTGTCATCGAAGCGACCAACATGAATTTGACCAAACTCCAGGAGGCAGTGGAAGACAGGAGGGCCTGGGGTGCTCTGGTTCGTAGGGTCATGAAGTGTCGGACACGACCTAAGGACTAAACAACAACAACAACAAAAGAACATAAGGAAGATGCTGCTTTGTACTCATTCTGCATGTAGGCATTTCATGGATATCTTGTTGAAATGCTGGACTAGATAGGCCCTGATTTAGATCTGGCAAGCCTTTTCTTACATACTTCTGCTATTAAACATGTGGCTCTGCTGCTGACATGTATGATTAACATTGGTAGTTATCTTTTATGAGAAAATATTGATTAGATGCAGAATTCCAATTAATGTGAACTTTCTCTCCCCCCCCCGCCCCCGTTTTTAACAGAATTGGAGTTTATCTTCTGACAAAAATACAGTTTGAAGGCACTTTCGCACTGCAAGTCACCTCCTGGAACTGATTCCTCCAGACCCTCAACATTTACCATCCAGCAAAAGACAAACGGTAAAACCTTACATAATCATGTTCAGAGGGTTAGGATACAGTATCAGAAAGAAAGAAGCTTTTGTAAACATACAGTATGACTAGAAACCATAAAATCTTTGTTAGTCATACTAAGGCATTCTGAGAAAGAGGTTTGCCTTCTTGTTTTTTAATATCATAATATCATATCACTTCTGAGACTGGCCACACTGCCTGGAGAGTTTTGAGAGCTATGGTACAAAAATACTCATCTGCACAGCTTTGTGATGTATCATATCACAAACTGCTTTCCAGTGTAGTTTGCCATGTGGCATGGTGAGGATTCCAAAGTGTCTTGAACAGTCAGGTTTCTTGAGAATTCTGTTCATTGTTTGTTGTACTGAAAGTATAGAATTTCATTTCGACAGAAATAAGGGAGGTAATGCTTGGAAGATTACATTTCCTTTTTTCCCTGTTCACTTATAGATCAGAAATACAAATGTCTACCACAAGACTAAAGTGTGATGTGTTATGTTCTTTACCATAAGCACCCATAAAATGAGCTCCATTGCAGACAGGTAAGTTATCTTCCAGTTTATTGATTATGTTTACATATGCATTATTAATAATTATTCATGATTTTAAATAGAATTGCAAAATGTGTCTATAGGTTGAAGCAGAGCTTAGAAAATTAATTCTTTTGTATTATATAGTAGGACTGCTGTATCCGCATCTGATTGGTTCCATGATATATTGTCAATGTCTGAATCTGTAGATGCAAGGGAACCCTATATACAATATTCCAGGAGGTGGGACAAAGGCACAAAGGGGCACCCTTTTATGTTTTACATAGGGCTGTGGCAAACCATGAATAAGTGAAATCGGACGTACAGCGGATCTCATTGCACTGTCTGGGCTGGCTGGGATATTATTCCCAGACTTGCAGTCTAAACCAGTAACTTTTCTTGTCATGATCCCTGTCACACAAATGAGTCTTTTTCCTTTGCACAACCACATTTTCATTCTTCTAGAGCTAATTAGCTTTTGGCATAAGCCCCATCCTCTCTTCCCTAGTGTGCACAGTTAGGTAAGCTTCAACTTCTTCCCTTAATTTCCTTTGTATCGGAAGCCTTCCCACTGCATATTGTTTATCAGCCTGCTTTAGTAACTAGTTTCTTTGTCATTTTTATTCTTAACTCATTCCTTTTCTGTCTCCATAAAAACAACAACAACCTGAGTCTTGATTTGCTTTTTGTTTACGGCCTCTGCAGCCAGCCCTTTTCAAGAAATATGTAGTCTCCCCATCAAACGGGCAATATACAGTGGTGCCTCGCTTAACGATGTTAATTGGTTAAAAAAAACATTGCTATGGGAAAACATCGCTAAGCGAAACACCATGTCCCATAGGAATGCATTGAAAACCGGATAATCCGTTCCAGTGGGAACGGATTACCGTCCTTAAGCGAAAATCGCCATAGAAAACATTGCTAAGCGAAATGCGGTTCCCCCCATTGGAATGCATTGAATAGGTTTCAGTGCATTTCAATGGTTTTGACAGGTCCGTTTTCGCTATTTTAAGTGTTTCTTAAAATGTTCAAAAACTGTTTAAATGCTTGGAATCGTTAGTGCACAGCTGTCAAACCTACAGTTCAATGCATTCCAATGGGGGGGAAAATTCACCAAAAATAACGAAGACTCAGAACAAAGCCAAATTAAGTTTGCAAAGGTTTTACATGGTGCACTAACGATTCCAAGCATTTTAAACAGTTTTTGAACATTTTAAGACACACTTAAAATAGCGAAAACGGACATCGCTAAGCGAAACAGGGGGACCTAAACTGTCATCGCTAAGCGAAGCAAGGTCCCGAACATCGCTATGCGAAATTTCCCCATTGGAAACATCGCTAAACGGAGCGCAAGATCTCTCCAAAAACCTCATCGCTAAGCGAATATATCGTTAAACGAGGCAATCGCTAAGCGAGGCACGACTGTAGCATGTGTTCTTCTTGGTGAAGGTCACCTTGCCCACCAGTATAATAGCATAGATTCATAGAATAACAGAACTGGAAAGTGCTTATAAGACTATAAAGTCTTATAAGCACTTTGTGCACAATGGAGGAATTCAAGTTAAAGCATATCAGACAGATGATTGTCTAACTTTGTTTTGAATGCCTCCAGTGTTGGAGTGTTCATCACCTTCTGAGGTAATTAGTTCTGCCATGGTTTCATGAAGGTTAAATTGAGAAATGAGTTTAACACATTTGGGAAACTTCGCCTTTGGCAAATTTTGCTTCAAGTGGCAGCAGTGAAAAAAAATGCCCCTAACACACTGCTTCCATTTTAATATGTAAGTCTTCTTGAGAGATACACTAGATTCATCTCACCAGGCCCTGACCTATATTGTCCACCTCTCACCAGTGACATTTACCACTTCCTCATTTTTGATGCTAATAGAGCAATTGCAGAAAAAAACAGAAAAAAATTGTATAGTCCCCAAAATAATAGAAATGTAAGGACAGGTGATGGCTTTATTAGACCACTAATAATTAAGCAAATAGCAAACATATAGATTTCTATAATTCATCTTACTCATTCACTCCATCCCATTAATCCTGAGATAGCTTTGTTATCAATATTTGAGAATGTGGAATACGACATGATGACTAGAGAGTTGATTACCAATTTATTAACAGCAGCCAGATTAATAATAGCTAGGAATTGGAAATCGAAATTGGAATTTTAAATGGAAGAATGGTATAATGAAATATGGCACATTGCTATAAATGATAAGTTAACTTGTCATTTAAAGGTTATGAAAGCAGAGATGAAAAATAATAATTTTTATGATATATGGGGCAGATTTCTTGAATATGTGCTAACAAGAGGAAAAGGGAAAGCTCCAAATCAGGAATCAATGCAATTCTGGAGAAGGGGACAATAAGGAAGAAGAAGAATAAAGATAAAGGAAGAAGATTACTGCAAGAGGTCCTGATTAGGGTTGTGGGGAACACAGTTGATTTGTATTTTGATTTATGTATTTTATGTTTATGTTGTAGTTTATCTAATATTTTTTGAAAAGGGAGTTATCACAGAGTTCACAATAGATTGAGACTTCCTACAAGATGACAGAGTTAGAGGCACTCTCTTCACTGGATTATCATGCATCTTGCAGTCTCTCATTATCAGCTCTGATCATCCAACAACTTTTAGCTCTTACGGCATCCACAACCTCCTATCCTCTTGGATTAACAGAAAGCCTCTCTAAGCCTGGTTTCTTCATTATCATGACACACATATCATGACAAGCATATCAAGAGCCTTACCCTACAGTGCTTAATCTGTCAGGATCTTTTATAGTGGACTATAGATGCTAACATTCATTTGGGCTTCCCTTTCAAATTCCTGTGATCAATGGTCATGGTAACGGCACATGCCTCATTGATGGGTTGCAGTGAGTACTGTACTGGAAATCAGATTTATGTGGCTTGGTCTTTGAAAGGACTGCAAATCGCACATCAAGCAACTGAAGCTTTTAGGAGTTTTCAAATTTCACAGGGCATTTGAAATTTTTATCAAGGACAGAACTCTTTAAGATTACACAGATTGAGTGAGAATGGTTTATATGTGTCTTCCCCACTATAATTTTTGTGGCCAGGCAGGTAGGTTGTCTCAGAGATGTTACCCAGTGCACAAATGAGGATTTGTGTTACTGGCATTCGGAACCCTCATGATTTGTTCAGGTAGTTCAACCATGGAGTTGTTTGTGGCAAGTAAAAACTCCCAAGAGTCTCAGATTTTGCTCCAGACTAGGGCTTAAACTCTGGGGGTTGCTTTTTGTTGTCTGTTGGGGGAACTAATCTTTCTGTTTCTCCTGTTTCTTAAATCCCTTAAAGCTACCGTAAAATTCTGTTATGACGGGCAGATACAGTTCTTATCACTTTGCCATGGTTGCATGAACTTTGGTTCACAACACTGCTCCAACCATCTCATTGGGAAGATCTAGTTCCATCACTCCAACCAGTTTTTAGTACACAACAGAGCAGCAGTACTCATCAACTTGATATTTATCACTGAAATTAATAGCATGGAGGTGCAGGCATCACTGATCACCTCTCTAGACATCCTCTGAACACTAGCAGCTTTTCATAAGTCTGTCCTCAGTTGGAAATGGAAATGTTTCAAATAACTTGCTGTTTCTTGTAACTTGCTGTTTCAGCCACTCTGACCTCCAGGGTACTTTCTTGCTCAACTTCAAGAAATTGGTTTATTCAGGTCTTTGTTCTTCATCCATTTAGCAGATATAGTGCAAAATCAACCATCTACAATTTTGAGCCTGACAGTTTGTTTACATTCTCTATTAAAAAAAATTCTCAGCAAACTTAGCTATGTTTGCTGACCATTAGCTATTTGTACTTCCTGAAGCCACTGTGCTGAGACCTGCTTGTTTCCTATCACTTGTTTGCAGACAACTCATCTCCATCATTTGACCCTTTGGTCGGAGTGGATGCTCTACCCTTGACTTTTGAGACAGGATTTCTAATAGCAATTGTATTACCTTGTAGAGCTCTATGTCTTGTGGTTGAACAGAGTGGTTATTTGACCTGATGTCCTTTTCCTCATAAAAGTGATCACCAGCTTTACTATTGTTCTTCCTGCTTTCTTTACAATCCCTCAGTGCTGCCAGGGGGAAAATAGAGCCTCAGTTTTCTCTTCATTCACTCAATATCTATTGGGCCCTTACATTTTATATTGACAGCATTCATTCTTTTTAGCAATCACTTAGATTCTGTTTTGTTATCAATGTTGCAAAGAAGGAAACTGAAAATTTGCAACAGTTTGCAAAGTGGGTTTATATCTTGTGCTATCCTAGCCTTCCATTTGGCTTGATACTTGTTCCCAGTACACAGTGCACAATGATTCCACCACTGCATTTCTCCAAGGACTTCTGCCAGATGTATGCCAAGCAGCATCTTTTCTTATTCTACTGCCACTTCTATTTTTGTTTAACTACAAATTCATTTGCTTATCTCAGATAAGCTTAAGTTAAAATTAATCACATTTATCCAATCAGACTTCTTGAGTTCAAGATGTGGGAAAAGCACATGAGCCCAAGGCACATTTAGCATGTTAAATATGCAAAATAGTGCTTCAGAATGGTGTCAAAACGCAGTAAGCATCTGCGACCCTTCTTTGTGTACAGGGATGTATTTCACACTTGAAATGTAGGATTGCAAATATTCCATGAGGCTATTTCAGTTATGTTTTCTAAACTATTTGTAGATCCAGTAGAGACTGTGTGGAAAAAAAATGTCCTTTGTAAGTATAAACAATATGGGAGTGTGTTTTTCTTCCCCTTTGAAATTTAAAATATTTATCAACATGCTCCATTATATATTGTGTTGAAGGATTTCTGTACAGCTTGGCTGTTCTTTGAAACATGTTTGTCTCTTGTAGAGATGATGGTAGTATTTTTGATGGCCTTGTGGAAGAAGATGATAAGGATAAAGCAAAGAGGTATGTTTTTAGAGGTAGTTAGAGCTGAATGTTTTTGGTTAGGAGGAGGAGTGTGTTTTCTGAAATGGGATATGGTACATGCTATGTCTTACTCACATGGTCCTTGAAAGTGTTAAAATCAATACAAAGGGAAAGGAGCCACATTAGCCTCACACCCTCCATTTTTAGTGCTTTAAATTCTTCCCTCACTCATACAGTTGGCTAGGGAAATAATTATGCTTTGCTAATGTGATGGTAGCATAGTTCAGGGTCCTATTTGAGTTTGTATTGCCAGGGAAGAGATTTTTGTGCCCTGAACTTTCCACAGGAATACTAGGTTGCCTCTGTGTCATCCAGCACTCCCCTTAGCTGTTTTTGAAAGAAACTAATTGAAATTTTGTTGATTCCATGGGACCAAAGCATGACTAGAGATGTGAATGCCTGGAAACTAACTTTAAAAAATTCACAAAAAAACAAATGACCTCCCCTTCCAGTTTTTGGCCCTCCCCACATACAAATTCTGATTTTTCCCCCCAGTGTGTAAGTGTGGGACATGGGAATGCAGAAAAAAACCCACCAGTAAAATAGTTAATTCTTTGTGGTCTCTGTGAATGCACACTAATGGGTTTTAGTGCACCTGCATAGTGAACCTCGGAATATACTAGAGCAGCCGTCTCCAACCTTTTTGGGGCTGCAGATTGCCTGGGGGGAGCGAGCTCCAGCAGCACCCCCGTGCTTGTGCAGTGGGTGTGTCAAGCTCGCATGACATGCCCGCTGTGCGTGGGCAGTGATCCATATCTGCAGCTCAGTTCTGGCAAGCCCACGGACCATCACCAGGCTGCGGACCAGAGGTTGACGACCCCTGTACTAGAACTTAAAACGCATGTTGTTAGGACCTCCCTCACCTTGTGGTTAGCTCTGCCCATGGCACAGAGTGCCTTGGATCCTTTTTTGCAGCTGCTGCTGCAGCAGCAGCAGCCCGGCTTGGAGTTTCTATTTTTTTCTTCTGGAAATTGTTATTCTTGGTGCACAAAGCAGCTGTGGAGAGCAGAGTGCGCGTGGTGGGGGCTGGGAGATCTGTCTCCGGAGCCCTGTCCAGCTCAGGCCACGGACTGGCACCAGGCCACGGACAGAGGGTTGACGACCTCTGGTCTATAGAATTGAATAATGATAATTCATGTGTATGCCGTAGACCAATAGGAGAATAAATGTTGTGTATATTTTATTTTTCCAAATGGTCTGGTTTGTTTTCATGTTTTTTTTTACAGCAAAAAATTATGGGATGGAGACATCCCCGTCTGAGCCTTTTGGAAATGTGACCTCTAAATATGACTCACACAGTCCAATTTTAACATGCATGTAAAACTTTTTCCTTGTGGTTTACTTTTTTTTTTAGAGTATCAAGAAACAAGTCTGAAAAGAAACGCAGAGATCAATTTAATGTACTCATCAAAGAACTGGGTTCCATGCTTCCAGGCAATGCTCGAAAGATGGACAAATCCACTGTACTGCAAAAGAGCATTGACTTTTTACGGAAACACAAGGGTAATTCAAGATATTATATGGAAGTTGTGACATCATTTTTTACCATTGTGTACACATGAATGTATGGGTAGGTATTGTATTAGGTAAAGGTTCCCCTTGACATTTAGTCCAGTCGTTTCTGACTCTAGGGCACGGTGCTCATCCCCATCTCCTAGCTGTAGAGCTAGCATTTGTCCGTAGACAGTTTCCGTGGTCACGTGGCCAGCGCTACTAGACACAGAACACCGTTGCCTTCCCACCATGGTGGTACCTATTTATCTACTCACATTTTTACATGGCTTCAAACTGCTAGGTTGGCGGGAGCTGGGAGAAGCGAAGGGAGCTCACTCCGTTGTGTGGATTCGATCTTATGATGGCTGGTCTTCTGACCTTGCAGCCCAGAGGCTTCTGCGGTTTAACCCGCAGTGTCACCCACGTCCCAAGATATTGTATTAGGATGACATGAATCTCTGTTAGTTATCCACAGGAAAGTTCAGCTTTCAGCTCAATTTAAATGCTCATAACTTCCAGTCGCACAGTGGTCAGATCAGAGAAATGCAGATGCATCAGTTCATATTTTGTACCTCCATCAGTATAGGTATGGGAAGCAAAGGTCTTGTCAGTGAGTATGGTATCAGATTTTCCAAACATTGATTTTTGAATCCTTATATTGAATCCCCTAGCATTTTGATGAAAGTTAATGGAATTACTGTATGCAGGAGCTTATGTGGTAGCTGCATATCTCTTTGACTCATGAAACCTCACTTTGTATTTTAGAACTGAGCTTGATTGCTTCTTATGACTCAAAAATAACTAGCTAAATATTTTGGATTATGTTCTTCCAATCACATCCCCAGTTTTTCACTCAGTTTTCAAAACTCTATACATTGTGAATTAGTTGAACCTTATAAAAATACTGCTTCCTGGAAATTTTATATTTAAAATTTAATGATTAAACGATAGGTTAAGCACTTTTAAACTATCATTCTTATATCTATCTGTGTATGTGTATATCTGTCTGCTTACTTAGCTGCCCAACTTACTTATCTGTCATCTCCATGCACATCCCAAAAGAGACATTTCTTTTTTATTCCATATACCAAATCTAAATGTTGATCATAGTTTTTATGTTTTAATCCCTTTGATTCACTTTTCACTTTTATAATGTGGATAGATATAAATGTATCTTTCTGTCCTTTCTGTTGCTCTTGTAGTATGGATATATATGTTTGTCATTTTTTTTTCATTGGATGTTCATGTTCAGGAGATTTTCTTTCAATTTATTCAGTCGTACAGCTTCTCTTAATGCAATTGTTCCATTTACGTATTCATGTAGTTTCTTTTGTGTCCAGCTTTATTCACTAAGGATTTGAAAATTTAGGTCTTAAGTCTATGCCTTTTTGGGGGGTATAGCCTAGTACTTTTAAGAAAAATAGCAATTAGCTGCAGTGAGAACATGGACATCATTTCTCAGATTAAATATTTAGCTGCTGATAACAATGGCAAAGATCCAAAAATCAGCTTAAGCCTTGCATTTTTTTAATTTTTATTTTTTAATAAACATTAACATTAGCAACTAATATACCACAAATTGCTTCTGAAATTTTACTCATGTCAGAAGGACAGCTGCTTTGAGCACAACAAATATAAAACTCCCTTGATCTTGTAGGATCTGGGACGTTTAGAGATCAAACACATTCTAAAGTCAGAAATCTTGCATCAGTGTTAATAGTAAACACTTTCATCATCTTTCTCTCTCTCTCTGCCTCTCTTCCTCCACACCATCTCTCTCTCTTCTTCCATTTATTCTCAGTATTTGAAAGTGTTGCTTTTCTCCAATGACATTTTCTTCATTTCGGTTATAAATTAGCATGCAAACATGCCAGATGTGTGGATTAATGTAGACAATTTCTCTGTTTACAGAAATCACTGCCCAGTCAGACGCTAGTGAAATCCGACAGGACTGGAAACCAACATTCCTTAGTAATGAAGAATTCACTCAGTTAATGTTAGAGGTAGCTTCTTTATTTTCATTATAAAATATGTGATTATTCTCTAATAATTGTTACTTTCCAATGTTACAAAACAGTACCTGGGTTGTATTTTAGTACAAAGTAGTTAGCTTGATAGTATGCTAAATCATGTGCAAAGAAAATGCTGATGTGTAAAGTACTGATGATTGTGGGTAAAGTCTGTGGGTACTTGGACCAGTAGCTTAGAGGAGAATACTGCTGTTCGTTTAGAATGGTATTGGCTATCAATCTTACCTAAGTTCAGTTAAAACACACTTTTGCCTTTAAAGCTCTTAAATGCTTTTGATCCAGTGTCTATGGAGGACTGCCTGTTTCCCTCTGGTTCTTCCTGCTTGTTGAGAGCTTCTGAAGAGGATCTGCAATCTCATTGTAGCTTCAGGTGTTTCATGGAATCGGACATTTTCTATAAGGATGCTTAGAGCTTATTACTTAACTTAGGAGATGTCTTTAACGTTCCTTGTTTCAGGGGTTGATGAATGGCTTCTTTTGGGGGGGGCGGGGGAGCATTTTGTGACTACATATTATAAAGGTCTAAGTGACTTTACAGCTGCTACTGGATTGAAATCAGTTAGGGCTACTCAGCGTAATACATTTATTGTTCCTGCTGCCTAGTTTTGTACTTCTCTGATGTGTTTTGTGTATATGTTATTTGTTGCTGGTACTTTTTTAAAAATTAAAAATTAAATGTATTAAAGAAATACAAAACAACAAAAAATATTTAATACAAAAGAAAAAGAAAACTAAAGAAGTAAAATAAAATATTTTATGTAAACAAAGAACTTAAACTGTTCAGTTATACATCAGTGCACCGCTCCACTAGGGCCATTCAAAGATGCAGTATATTGCATTAGTTTTCCAGTTATAAAGCCCATTCCCCTTCCAAAACTGCATAGATTCTTTTGGAGGTACAAAACCTTTCCCTTTTATTCATGCATAGTCAATAAAAACTGACAAAATATCACTAAAATATTCTTATTTACCAACTCCTTTTTAACCTTAATATCGTTTAGTATTCCAAACTTCTTTATATCAATCATTTAATTGAAGTTCATACTATGATTTGCAGCTCTTTGCTGTAATTAATCTTGCTGCTGTTAATAAATTTGTTCCTAATTTTTCTGTTGTCCAATCTGCTTCTTCCTTATTAAATATTGATAACAGTGCTAACCTTAAAAATTTCAATACATTCTCACATTCCCTCCACATATTGCTAGTATTTTTATGTGTTTATGGTATTTCTATACTGCCTTACATAATAATTATTCTAGGGTGAATTTTACTGTACCTTGTGTGTACTTTGAGAATCTTTTTAGCTGAAATATGGGAATATAGATAGATCTCAGTGTAATTCAGTGTGCCTTCCTCCAAGACTGAAGTCCAGCCTAGAAAATGACAACAATTAGAACTATTAACCACCTGTTCAGAAGAAATTACTTTGCCTTTTCATTTCATTGGCCAGCCCATTTGTCATCTTAAACTTTTGCTTTCAGTCATTAGCACAGTAGCCAAAATCAAACCCTGATTGCCAAAATGGAAGTCCAGTAATGTTTTACTGAAAATACTATTAGCAGAGTGCTTGTTGGTTCAATGTGAATGAAAAGGCAGGTTTCCTTTCATGAACATCTAGATCAGTTTTGCTTCTTTCAGTTTGAGAATATGGTAAACAAATGGTATGGTAATCTATTTGTCTCCTTTTAACAGACCTATTTCTGTTTAATTTCAGGCTCTTGATGGTTTTTTTCTAGCAATCATGACAGATGGAAGTATAATATATGTATCAGAGAGTGTAACCCCATTACTTGAACATTTGCCAGTAAGTATGAGTTGCTTTTGGGAAGCATACTAGACTTTTTGATTACAATATTCACAGTTTACTGTTTGCCAGTTAAGATTCTGGATTTCGAAGAATATACCCATCTTTATATAGACCTCTTACTTTCCCTGGAGATCCTTCTTGTTTGTCTTGTGTTGTCTTGTCTCCTCCAAATGATTCTCAACATTGTGTGGCTCCTGAGCATTCTCAGTCTTCATTGGCTGTTCTTTGGGAGGAGTTTTGCTCCTCCAGTTGTATTTAAGGCTTCTGCTCTCCTGCAAATCTCAGAATTTCCTGTTGCATGACAATAACTTCCTTTTGTTTCTCAGTGGCAAATGTTTAGATCCATTTCTTTCGGCACCAGCTACTTGAATTACAATGTTGGACTGAGACTCGAAGAGACCAGGTTCAAATTTCCAGTAGTCTGTGAAACTCCTTGAGTGATCTTAGGTTGGTTGTACTCTTTCAGCCTGAGTGTAGAAGAGATGAGCCATGAACACAGCCTGGAAAAAGTGGAGGACAGACAAGATATAAACGTAACAAATAAACAGTAGTTCCATTTCTGTTGGCACATCACCTGAGTTGTCTGTTGGAGTAGTTGATGCTGGAATAGTAGCTGATTGGAAATTACTGTAAAACCTTTGTATGTGAACTGGAAAATATAGAAGTACAGAAGGCTGTCTGGATAGTTCAGTGGTTTAGGTATCTGATTGCGGAGCCAGAGGTTGGAGGTTTGAGTCCTCATTGTGCCTTCTGTGAGTAGAATCAGCCTGTGTGGCCTTGGATAAGCTGCACAGTCACGGGGTGCTCCCAGAAGAAGAGGATGGTGAATTACTTCTGAGTATTCTCTACCTGAAAGGCGTTGCCATAAGTCAAAATTGACTTAACGGCACATTATTGCTCTTTATTATATGGACAAAAATATAATGTTGCACACATATTGATCAGCGTCCCAAGTATTTATAACAAGAGTGATCCACCGAAAGGACTTTGAAAGTGAGATTCTGGCCATTGCCATAATTATCCCTTGTATGTCACTTTTAGGTAATTGTTGTTGTTTAGTCGTTAAGTCGTGTCCAACTCTTCGTGACCCCATGGACCAGAGCACGGCAGGCTCTCCTGTCTTCCACTGCCTCCTGAAGTTTGATCAAATTCATGTTGGTAGCTTCGATAATAGATGTTCTCAAGTAGCACAGAAATATTTGCTATATATTGTCAAGTCAGAATTAACTTGTACTGAGTGAATTTACTGGTTCTACCCCGCCCCCAGTGAGTTTCCATGGCAGAGCCAAGGAATTGAACCTAGGACTCCCAAGTCCTGCTCCATTATTCTATCCACTGCATCATCCTGGGTACCCCTGTAAATGTATACTGATAATTTGAATAAAACATCGGCATTTTGAGTTAGACATGTAAATGCTAAAAAGGACATTAGCTACTCAAAGTCAGGGAACATTTCTTTATGGTTGAGCAAAGGACATAGGAAATTGTGTTCACTTCATCTGAATTGGTGCAGTCCTCTTTATTGTTACAGAAATATTTTAGAATTGTCTAATATTCAAGAACATATGCTGCAGGCTATGCAACATTCTCTTTGATTGTTTTGTTAGCTGATTTCTATTCAAAAGAAAAAAATGTTTCATTTAACTTAATTTCATTTTTCTCTCTCTTATAGTCTGACCTTGTGGATCAGAGTATATTTAATTTTGTCCCAGAGGGGGAACATTCAGAGGTTTATAAAATACTGTCCACTCATCTGTTGGAGAGTGATTCATTGACCCCAGAATATTTAAAATGTAAGTTGCATTATTAAATTATCCTCTGAAGTAATTTTGGGCCCATTTCATTGGTCATGTGGATGTATATGAGACTGAAGCTATTTTGGACAGGAACAAGGTAAAAGTGTGCTGCTTATATACTGCCCCATAGTGCTTCAAGCACTCTCTGGGCGGTTTATAAGTTAATTATGCAGACGACACATTGCCCCCCCCCAAGCGAGCAACCCAAGTAGTCCTCCTCAACTTCTTTGTAGCTTTTGATAATTGCATCTTGTTAGCTATCTGGGTGGGGTGCTGGGGGCACTGCATTGCAGCAATTCCAATCCTTCTTGTCAGGATATACTATAGATTGCGTTAAGTCATACATATAAAGGTGGTATATAAATATATTAAATAGCTAATGACCAACCAACCAACCAAAGATGGTGTTGGGGAATACTGTTGCTGTGGCCTTTGTTGTGTCGTGTCCCTCTGGCTTTATTTCTTGTATCGTTTAACATGTACATGAAACTGCTATGAAAGATCATTCGAAGCTTTGGAGTGAGTAGCACCCAATATGCTGATAGCATATAACTGTTTTGCTTCTTGTCATATAACACTAATGGAGCAGTCAGTAGCTTTGAATGTTGCCTGAACATCGATAATTCAATATTTATTGTATGGACACAGACCTGATTGATAAGCTCGATAGTGTGCTGGATGAGGATGGCAAAATGGAGATGCTACTGGTAAATAGAAAATCAGGCTCAGGGAATGGGATTTAACCTTTTTTAGAAGAGGTTGAACTGCTCCTGGCAGACAGGTTCATAGTCTGGGAAGTACTCTGATTTAGTGCTATCTCCGAGGCGTATCTTTGTGTATCTCTGCTTAGTGTACCACATACAATTTGTCCTCAGTTTACCTCTTTGGCAATAGTTATCTATTCCTTAGTTACATCATGTCTTGACTCTTACTATGTACTCTACATAGGGCTATCCTTGAAGAGGGTCATAGATTTTCATTTAATCCCTGTTCCTCTTCAAGGATTAGTTTAATATGCAGCTTCTAAGATACTAACTTATGCATGGTTTCAAGATAATGTTTTTCTTTATGGCCTCTGGATCACATAGTTGGGTTCTTTCGCTTGCACAGAGCCTATTCAATGAAGTTCTCAGTACTGAATTATTTGGAGGGGTGCCCTGCCCGTGGCCTCCATCGCATATATAGTAATTCACTCAGGCAAATTTCCTCAGCTCCTTTTTGCCTATTGCCAGAGTGACACATTAGGAGCAAATTCTGCTGAGCACACAATATTTTTCTCTTCCAGCTTTCCTTCTATTTTTGTCATTTTCTCTTTCAATTTGATCTGTTCATTGTTTCTTTTTAAAGAAGAAAGGTGGAGTAAAATAATTAGCTTAAATAACAATATTTTCTTTTCAGTTTTCACTATTTGGTTTCTTGTTTAAACTTTTTTTCTCCATGTGACAGGCATTTCCTGGTTGCACAGCCTCAAAGGCCTTATTCAAGAAATGTATTTCTTGTGGAAGTATTTCTCTAGCTACTGGCATACTTGCTGCCTTTTTATTTTGCTGAGATTCAAATGTCCAGCTTTGGGAACATGTATCCAGCTTTGATGTGGGAAAACCACCTTTTTAGCGGTGTTAATTTCAGGCAGGAGGGCTCCAGAACCTTGTGCTCTCCATTCAGATCCGTCCTACCTGACTTTCCATGCTGACAAGGCAGGTCTTCCTCCTAATAGCACCTTTCTCCCTAAGATAGTCTTGGGTTTTTTTGCATTAACCAGTAGATGTTGCTTCCAGTCTTATTCCACAGTACATTTGCCCTGCTAGAAATGATTCCATACCCTACATGTGAGGAGGGCCCTCACCTTTTATCTATCCTGTTCTCCATTGTTTTCAAATATGACAAGACTTTTCATCTGCTGTAATGGCTATAAGAAAGGCCTCCTTGTTTCATCACAGCAAATGGTTCACTGGATGATGGAATATAAATTGCTGACTTATTAGACGGCAGAGGTACAGATGCCTCAGGGAGTTATGGGTCACTCCACCAGGACAATAGCCTCCTTAGCAGCAATCCTGAAAGGCATACAATTCCAGGACATTTGCAAAATGGCTACTTGGGTTCAGCCCTCAACATTTATCAAGTATCACCAACTTGATTTTTGAGCTAGATATGACACCAGGTTTAGGGAACAGTCCATTCTCTTCTGCAGTGACACTCCCACTGTTGGTAAGTTAGCTTTTTAGTGGCTACCCAACAGTGTAATTGAACGAGTCCACAATGTAGAACAACTGCTTGCTTACCTATAACTGTGGTTCTTGGAGTGATCATCTGTGGAGTCATACAACCTCTTCTCTCTGTGTATCTGCCACTTTATTATAGCAGGTGGGAACTGAGGAATCTCCCTGAGTGTCCTAGTACATACTCGATGGAGGATGTGGTCAGGGCTAGTGTCCAAATAGAATGTTGTTGAAACAGGCTGTGTGCAGGCTCAGGAACGCAATTGTGTGAATCTACAGAGTACTGTATCACCCAAAGTATCACAGTTATAGGTAAGCAACCAGTTTATCCTCATGCTGAAAGACCTGCACTGGTTGCCAGTTGTTTACTGGGCCCAGTTCAAGATACTGAATTTAGCTAGGGATGTATATGATAAATCTTTTCGTATTTCTTTTGATTTGGGTTCTTTTGTTTTTTGTGGTATTTCTTGCACTGATCTTTTCATTTTATGTAAAAGGGAAAACCTCTTCTGGGCCTCCCATTCATGTTACCAGGAGCCTTACAGAACCCTCAAAAATTACTCCAAAAAGTCCTGTGCCTACTGTACATAAAAGCAGGCAACAATGCACGAGAAAGAAAAAGTATCACCAGGGTTATGCAGGCACTGGTTTACAGATGAAACTTCTGGCAATGTCCAGAAGTTGTACATATCACCATCAGAGGCCACACAAAGGTGCTCCTCCAGCCAGGATACACGACCACCACCAGTCCTATGCATAGAGGGAGGAAAATCTCACTCACTCACCAGCCAGTTCTAAAAGCAATGAAGCTTTTAAAACAGTGTAAATTCAGTGCTACCCACCCAGCACAGCAGAGTCACTCCACTGATTCAAAGCAAGCAATAACACAAAGCAGTCCCCCTTCCAATCAACCAAAATATACTCCTCTAGCAGAATAAATACTCTGTAAATTAGCTAAAGAGCAATTTAAATAATAACTCAAACAGGGAAAGCGTCTCTACAAGGTATAAATAGCAACAAAAAGACAAAAATGTACCCCACATACACAGCCCACTCTCCCCAAGAAAAGCAAGGAGCCAAATAAAGGCAAAAAAAATATAATGAAAGCCCTCTCAACCAAAACAACTATAACATCTGGAAATTTTTCTTCCCTGCTACTACTTGATGCCTTCCCTTCTCTTTTTTGAGACCAACAAGCAATACAGACAGGCAGCAGCAAAAATAATCCTAAAAGGGGGGGAGAGAGAAATCCCCAAAACATGAAATAAAAAGGGAAGATAGATAAAACTTTATTACGGTCAAAGACCAGCCACAAAAATAAAAAAGGAAAGATCCAAAAGGGACAGAAGCAAGCAGGCAACATAATCCAAGATAGACAGCACCAACAGCTAGCACATAGGAATGACAGAAACGAGACTATTCTTTGTGTGGTTAATAATTCCTGCTCCTGGATATTCTTTTTGGCTGTCCTGGGTGATTTGACAAAGGATGAAAGAAAGGTTGCATGAAAGAAGAAAATACAAAGAACAAAAAACACTATAAAATTTTTGTATGTCACTCTTTCATTAGTAGGAATCAGTCATGTTTTAGAGGTTCTCTTTTGGATTTTTTTAAAAAAAAAACATGAAACATGAAAAAGAGAGCCTCTTTTATGTTTCATTAAACAAACAAACAAAAATCCCTGATTTTGTACTTCAGAATCATAAATGGCTTGAGACCTGTTTGTGGAAGGACCACTTGCCTCACTATGCACCTGAAGATATATTAAGAGGCTCTCTTTTTCATTTTAACATCTTCAAAAAAAAAGGCCTTTTTGAAAACAGTGATAGCTTCAGAGTCCTGCTTGACAGGCTTGTGGGAGAGGACTTTCTGTTGTGTGGCACCCATATCGTGGAACAAAGACTCCTCATATCTGCAGTTGATTTCTTCTTAAAGATGCATCTGTTAAAATTGGCTGAAATCCTTTTTCTTAATGTAGTAAATTGCACCAGTTGCATTATTTAAATTTGTTGTGATAATTTTAACTGTTTGCATATTTAATGCTATAAGTCTGTGGTTGAATTTGTTTTTGCTTTGTGTTTTTATTATATTTTAAGATGATTAATAGATATCTTGAGTGCTCCCTAATAATGGAAAGGTGGGGTGGAAATGCTATTACTACTAATAATGGTGGTGATAGTAGTAGTAGTTATAGTAGAGGGCAGAGTCTTAGAACACATAGCTTTATGAGAATACAATCATTGTTTTTTTTTCCATTGCATTAAGAATTTCCAGGAATCATTTTCATATGCCAAGTAAATGAAAATGATACTATTGAAGATAGCAAGTGCTATCTTCAGTGGACTGTTACAATGTAGAGTACCTCTGTTCAGTTCTTCACTGAATCATGCCCTCCACAATGCTTCATCTCATTCCTCCTGCTGTTTTTCTGATCACAGAAAAAGTCCTGTCCTCACGGAGTCTCTCAGCATCTGAAATCCTGTTGCTTATTGTAGTAAGGTGCACTAGAGTAGAATCATTGAATTAGTGATGATTTGATAAGTCAACTCCTGCTTAAGTTCCATTGATTCCAGTGAGCCTACTCTGTCTGCACCTTATTTTAGTGTAGTAAGCTATAGCTAGAGTAAACCCGTTTGAATCAATGGAATGTATGGAAGAATTAACTCACCAAACCCCCACTGATGCAGTGGGCTTACTGTAGTGAGCCTTACTACAATGTGTAGCCTTCATAATTAGCTTGTAAACCACCCAGCGAGTGCTTTAAGAGCCATAGGGTGGTATATAAGCAGCACGCTTTGCTTTTAGTACACCAAGAAACAGGATTTCAGCCAGCATTTCATAGTTGCTGATCATGTCCAGTCCTCAGTGGACTTCTCTCCTCCTCTTCTTAAAAACTTTTTATACTTCCGCAAAGCATATGATTTCCTATTAATATCTGTTTATATCTCCCTCTTTTCTGAATGGTAGTATTTTGGATATCTAAGTGCTATTCTTTGCTTTACATCTAGAGAAATAGTGGGATTGAGTGGAATATATTTCTGTACATCATGGCCAGAACCCTGGCACTGACTGACACTTGTAAGCAGGCACTTCATTAATGAGCAGCTGCAATTAGCAGCCTGTATGATTTCCTCTACACAAGTCAGCAGTGGGATTCTGGCCTTCATCTTCCAGACTCTTGCACTGTGAATGGAGTATGTCATTAAATCAAATGTATAGGAGTGTGTTGTTAAATTAATGTTTAATTTCTTTGTTATTGCAGCAAAAAATCAACTAGAGTTCTGTTGCCATATGCTCCGAGGGACAATAGACCCCAAGGAAACACCTACATATGAATATGTAAAATGTATAGGAAACTTCAAGTCTTTGAGTAACAGTAAGTTATATATGGCACATACTATATTAAATAAATTATTTTCCTCCAGCTTTTAAATTATAATCCATTTGTGATACACTAAAGGAAGTATGCAATCTGATTCTTCTTGCTTTTGAAGATAGCAGAGAGGAGCACTGGCTGACATAAATAATAGTATATTACAATACAACACAAAAGTACATAAGGGTTGAAATCCAGTAGTAAGTTGCAACTAGAATAGGCCCATTGAATCAATAGGCATTTGATGAGTCAACACCTATGTAAGTACCACTGATTCATTGGACCTATTCTAGTTGCAACTCACTGTTGGATTTTGGCCACTATCTACTTACAAAATACATCAGTGCAGTAATTTCTGTATTTTCGTGTTCACTTTATAGTAGCCTAAATAGATGGAGGCCAGTATTTTTATATTTAATTATCTAAATCTCTGTACTTTCAAGACATGTTTTAAGTGCTTATTTAAGTGGTGCTGGCTTTGATGGAACTGAGGTGTTAACTGAAGGAAATCGTAGTGTATAGCTGAGATGAAAGTGCTGTGCAGTCATCTTTTTCAGCTCAGTTTTGGATCTTTTTCCAGGGAGTAAATTCTGTTGAGTGCACATGTATTGGATTATGCTGTTAGTGTATATCAGGCAAACACAAAGGAAAAAATAAAAATGAAGACAAAAATGTTGTGGCACTTTAAAGACTAACTGCTGTATTTTAATGTGAATTTTTCTGGATCAAGTCCTCAGTGGAACTGGCCTTGTCCATAAAAGTTCATATTAAAATACAGTTTTAATTAAAGTGCCACAACATTTTTGTTTTCTTTATTTTTAATTTTTTCCTTTGTTTTTGTCTAATATGCTAGCACAGACTAACATGGCTGCCTCTTCTAAAAATGCTGTTTGTACAGGGTTAATTTTGTTAATATGAAGGGTTAACGAAAGTATAAACAGATGAATTGTGTTTTTTCTGCAGGCACGCTACATGTAGCTTACTTGGATTGCATTTCCTTGCTGTGTTTTTTTGTGCTGTTCTTTAGTAAGCTTGCTGTTTGCAGTTGTTTTTTAAAGAAATTTATTGAAGGGGTGCTTTGCAAATTCAGTGTCAGGTCTGTGTACAGTTTTTCCCTTGAAAGCAGAGGATTCTAAAGAGCTATTCCTCATTGTGCTTTTCCTTTGCCATCTCCCCTATTTCTACCATATTCTAAAGCAACTCATGAGGCTAGCACCCTGGCTAAGGTGGTGTAGCAGTGTTGTCTTACGTTGGATTGAAGTGGTTGCTTTGCAAACTCAGTTCATGAGAAGAAAAGCTAGGTGCTGCCCCAGCTTAGAAGTCAGATACCAGGCTCATTCTCTTCTCTGCAGGCATGAAATAGGTAGGTTGCAATAGATGGCAGGTAGGCAGACCAGCAGAAGCAGTCGAGAAACTTACAAAAACATGGCGAATGGCGGTACTAATAGCAGGCAAGCAGAAGGGCTAGAAAAATGTGACCTAACTCAAAATAAAAAGACATAAAACAGCAGTGGTTCTGGCAAAGTAAATAAAGCAGCAGGAATGGATAGGGACCAACCCAACTGGAAAGAATACAGTGCACTAGAAAGGCCATCTCCTTTAAGCAACTACTAATCTTACCTGTAAAAACGACATTAAGCAACACTGGTGCAAAACCAAACAGCTATAGCAGGGGGAAAGAAAGGCTAGAGAGCTCTCCAGACGTGGTACACCACCTTTTTTTATCTGATCCCTAAAATATTTGCCTTATTGTGCCTTTCTAAAGGAAAACCTTTGGAAGGCTCCAATGTATTTTTACTTGATTTAAAGTTCAAGTTAAACGTATACCCTAAATATTAATTTTTGTGTGTGAGTGGATAGAATGTTGAGAGTGTTCTGTTTCTGGAAGATAGCTATATGGAATGTATGTGATGTTGAACTGAACAGATAGATGGCAACATATAAACGTGTGCTTACATAAAATGTAATTTTATAAACTGTAAACTTGTATAAACCTTAAACTTGTATAGTTACAATTGTATAAATTATAATTTCACAGCTATACATATTAATTAGTTTATCATGCTGCTGTTAGGTTCCCATTGTTAGAAGAAGCTTGGTTTTATATTTCTTCTTAATTGCGTTTTTATATGGTGGTGGAATCCTGTTGGTATAACTGTCTCTAGAAGAGGGAGTGACTTCTGGAAATTGAATTTTTTTACCTCTGTCACATTGCTTTTCTGACTTCTGCATAATCCCTTTCACCATGTGGAAGCTGTGGGAGCCACAGGACTGGAGGAAGACATTTTTACTGAGCATCTGATCCTGCTGGTGATGTCATCAGGTGGCACTGATTTTAGGTAAAGACTGCCTTCCTCTGTCCTGCAGTTCCCAGTTTCCATGTGATAGAAAAGATTGTATAGGAGTAAAAAAAGCTGCAAGGCAGAAGTAGAATTAACAAAAAATCACCCACTGTCATCACCCTTCTACAAGCATAACCTATGCAACAGGATTGCATCCCTTGGATTGTTAATAAAATATGTGGTTATAGGTCATCCTTGGAAACTAGTAATTTTCCTTCCTGTTTCTCATCCTTAGTGCCTAACTCTGCACATAATGGTTATGAAGAAACCATACAGAGGTCTCATAGACCATCTTATGAAGACAGAGTTTGCTTTGTAGCTACAGTTAGGTTAGCTACACCTCAGTTTATTAAGGTATGTTAGATTTATCTCTTTCAAATCTGTCTTTTATTTTGTTTTTAACATAATGTAAGCTTATTAATAAATGGTAATGTAAGTAACACTATTCCAGTGGGAAGGTGCTCTGTTCCAGGATAGATTTCTTTTATAAACTATTACCTAGACTGTGTGTTTTGTGATCAAAAACATTCACTTTCAGCCTCTGTCACTGTTTCATTAGTGTGATATTATAGATACAGCCTAGCCCATATCTCCAACAGATGTTTAGATGGTTGGCACTTAAAATAATCACCTGTTTTCAGGAGTAGGGAGAATCAATCTGAGGGCTCTGCCCTCTCATGCTTGATGTTCAGTGTCTTCTGTGTAAAAGAGAAACTAAACATGTTTTGTGACATTTCATGTGCAAAGTTAAATTCGCTGAAGTTTAATTTTAAAGGATTTCCTATTTTAAAACATTAAGACATTTAAAACGCTGTTGAAAATAGTAAATAAAGTCCTTCCCTGCCAACTACTCCATCTCCAGGTGTGGAGAGGAAGATAGTATACTGAGAGTGCCTGTTTCTCTGTTGTACTTTGTGTGGGATTCATATGTTGATAATTTTTGAAGTGGTAGCCATGTTAGTCTGTGCAAGCATATCAACAAGAAACACCAAACAAAAGGGAAAGAAGGAATCCAAAGATGTTGTGGCACCTTAAAGACTAAGTGCTATATTTTAATGTGAGCGTTCGTGGAACAGGTCCACTTCTTCAGACATGATTGAAAATAGAGATAGAGGTATTTATATATGAATATCCCCACACAGACAGTCCACTCACCGATCTGACGTGGATGGAGCGATTCTACCAATGGCTCCACAGCGTGCAATCCACTCGCCACTCTTCGACCCTTCAGCAAGGCTTGTTCTCCTGCCAGGAGTGGCAAGCAGATCGCACGCTGTGGAGCCATTGGTAGAATCGCATCATCTGTGTCAGATCGGTGAGTGTACCATCCAGCCCCATGGGGCTGTACCCTCGTTAATGCTACCTGTGCGAGGATATTTGTATACAAATATGAATATCCCCATCTCTAATTGAAAATAAAGAGACTATATGGCAAAACCTTCATACTGGGCTTTAATATAAAGAGGTAATCGTGGTAGACCCACGTTGCATTTCACACCAAGCAGTGATTTAAGACCCGTATTTGATCATTCAGTTCTTTTCTCTTAAAGCTTTGTTCTGTTAACAGCAACTGATTAGAGGCTAAAGGAAACAACAACAGAAGGAACATGTGGTAATCAGTTATTTATTTATTTAACTTATATGCCGCCCACTCTACCCAAAGGTCTCTGGGCAGCTTACAACAATTACAATTCAATTAAAATACAATAAAAGATAAAATGATTGAAATACAATTAAAATTGCCATCAGGACCTACAGTTGATGTTATTTCAATTAAAAGCCTTCACTGGCCTTATCTTTGAAGCTGTTTCTGTAATGGTGGCTGTGGGTAGTTGGGGAAGAAAATGATAGCAGATAACAACATAAATATTGTAGTATTTCACATTTGGGAATGGCTTATGAACCCTTCGCTAATATTTGATCCATTGAGATAGGTATTATTCATATGTATACAGTATATTTTATCTTGGCTGTTTCCACTCTGAATTCTTGTTCTTTATTTTACTTTATTTTTCTTTTTCCTTTCTTCAACTTTCGTTTCTGAAAGTTCCAATCTGGAGAAGAAAAGAATCCAGAGGGAAACATCTGAGATAAAATAAAAATCTTTAAGGGGCCACAATGTTTCCCTCATCTTCTTCTTCTTCTTCTTCTTTTTGCATTTGTTTTGTTTTGTGTATATTGTTGATATGCTGATGAGTTTGCAAATCCCATGTGTAGAACAGGTGTAGAACATGTTGATCTACAGTGGCGAGTTATTCCTCTTTAAAGCAGCAATGAAACAGTAAAATAAGAAATTGTTTGCATGTAAAATTCATGTTAATTTAATTGTTTGGAATCTGGATTTCAGAAGGAGTTTTAAATTAGAGTAGAGCAGTTCTGAGAGACTGACATTTTTTTAATTTTTTTAGGAAATGAGCACTGTTGAAGAACCCAATGAAGAGTTCACCTCTAGACATAGCTTAGAATGGAAGTTCCTTTTCTTGGATCACAGGTGCCATTTCTTACAATGTAGTACTAAATGGTAGCATTCAGTTACGGTTAGTGGCAACTAATTGACGTTGGCTGATTATAGGAAGAAATTAATTTTTCTTTTTCTATTGAATACATTGTATGTCATTATGTGCACAAATATAAGAATTATTATGACATTTTTCCCTCCTCTTCTGAGGCATAGACTAACAACTCTTGTGTCATTATCCAGGGCACCACCAATAATAGGTTATTTACCCTTTGAAGTATTGGGGACATCAGGATATGATTATTATCATGTAGATGACCTAGAAAATCTGGCAAAATGTCATGAACACTGTAAGTAAATGTGATATTAAGTTATATAAACCCAAACTATATCTTGAGCATTAGATGGTAAACCTTTCTGATGATGTAGCATCTAGCCTGTTTGAAGTAAGAACAGCTCCTGTGCTACATGGCAAACTATTGTGACAGTTGAAATTAAAAGCATTTTGTGAAATATCACAATAGTCTTTGTTCAAGGAAAAAAACCTCACTTGTCATGATTAAGTCTTCAGACTCACCTGGAGAATAATTGTGGTCACTGCTGCTTATGTCCAGGTGTCTGGTTCATTTGCAAAAGATGGCAGATAATTTTTGCAAGCCATCTTGAGCATCGTCTCATCAAAAGTAGTACTGTAACTAAGTGGCCAAAAGCTTGCCACTGTAATAAATCTAACTGGTGAATTGTTGCAAATTAAGAAGTTAGCATAGGCATTTGTTGCTGTTCTGCACCAGGTCTTGCAACTTGGTGCACAACAGCAAATGCTTCAACGAGGTACCTTATAGCAGTGGTCTCCAAACTTTTGAGTGTGAGGGCCACATCTTATATTTTCCACATATATGAGGGCTGAAGGAATGTGTGTGTGGTCGCCTGCCTGCCAGCTTGCACCTCTCCACCCCCTGCACAAGCCAGATAAAACGGCAAGGTGGGCCGGATGTGGCCCATGCGCCGTAGTTTGGAGACCCCTGCCTTATAGCATTGGTTCACCAATGAGATCTACACTTAATGAGTTCTACTGGCATAAAAGCTCAATAGGACTTTGTCCAATATAAATAGCAGGTACTTACACACTATCTTTACACCTGCTTTTTATATTTTTATACTGTTCTAGTCAGTCAGTTCCTGTTCTAGTCATAGGTTTTTTTTCCAGATTTCTCTGACAGCTATCATCATATTATTCTGAATTTTCTTTGTAATTCTTCTGTCTCATGTCAAATGTTAGAAAGTCAGATTTCCTGGAAATGATGCAAATGTAGTGCATTCTTGGCAAGCATGAATTGCCGTAGTGTTTCCAAATGACATGTCATTATCAAATAGGTAACCCTGTTGCCATGTGCTGCTTTGATGTTCCTTCACTGTTATACTTCCTGACAGGTCTCATTTTATTAGTGTATTAATTTTTAATTGGACTTCTAATTCATGCAAAAATACATTTTTGCCTTCAATGTTTTGTAAAATTAAAGTATTATGAAATACTGAACTATTATTTCATATTATTATTTCATATTATTATGAAATTGTGCTTAAATTAAAATGCTTTAGCATAAATATTTTGCTCATCTTTTACTTAGTATTGACATGATTTAAAACCTATGTAATCACTTATAGCAAAATTTAAATATAAAAAGCATTTTACTGGAAATTAAATAATAGTTTTTAACATAACGTGCTCATAACTGTCCCTTTCTGAGCCACATGTCTGTGTTATAGCCACTGGTTTGGATGAAGCAAAGTAAAATTTACACACACAATAACTTGTGTACCCTTAAAATGTGGAAATATAATTGGAATTCTGCATTAAGTCAACAGACAAGAACGATGGCTTGGTAACATTAAAAGTGTCAGAAGTAATTTTTGGGATCTTGGCTATTGTCTTCTGATACAATAAGCACCAGAGTGTTTCTAATAATAATAGAAGGACACTTTGTATGAGTTGAAATCGGTACTTTTATTTAAATCTGTATCTTAGAGTTTTTAAGCAGATGTTTTGAAGTAACATTTTGTTGTTTAATACTGTAGTAATGCAGTACGGAAAAGGGAAGTCCTGCTATTATAGATTCCTCACAAAGGGGCAACAGTGGATTTGGTTGCAGACTCATTACTATATCACTTACCATCAGTGGAATTCTAGACCAGAGTTCATCGTATGTACACACACAGTAGTAAGGTAAGAGAATTCTGCATGATTTTTCAATTTCAGTAGTTTGCAACAAATTTTACAACTATGCTTCTGATAGTTTTGTAAAGTATTAGGAGGATAGCCAAGGAATGACTGAAGTCTTCTGAGCAAGTTAAAACTAAGGGCTCAGAAGATTAAAATATGTACTTCTATTAATAGAAGCAGCTCCATTAGTGCAATTGGAAAGTTACCTGTCAGAAATCCTAAAAGAAAATATCTGAATATCTCCCCCGGGCTCCTGCAATGAATAGACTAGACTCTTAATCCCTCGTCCCTTGCTGTCTCTAATGCACTCTAAATCCCCACTTGTAAAAGTCATGAATGGCTCTGGAGCAAATTTTCAAATGGTGCAGAGGGCTGCAGTGAGGATATGAAGGAAGTCCCAGTACTAACAGGACTGTCCATTTAGAGCTATTGCAGTTAAAACAACTTGATATGATAATCCATTGGAATGTATGGTTGTTGTCTGTAGTTATGCAGAGGTTCGAGCAGAAAGGCGGCGTGAACTTGGTATTGAAGAGTCTGTGCCAGAGACAGCAGCAGATAAAGTATGTTTTCTTATTTTGGTTCTTTTCTTTGTATCTTAATAGTTACATTTCATTTCTAAAACAAATATGGAATTTCAGAATGTGAAATGTTCACACAAAATAAGTGAATGTGAGAGTAGAGTGAGATATTTTTATATGCATATACATAGCAGAACTACAGTACCTAGCTCAAGCTTGCCTGCTTGCTTTCTTATTTGTTTGTTTGTTTAATTTTCATACTGCCCATCTTGCTGAGGGCCACTCTGGGCGGTATACAGCAAACACAACAACATAATTAAAATATTAATTTGACAGACCAGAAATAAAAATTATAAAATATGAATAAACAATATAATCAAAAGCATTAAGACACATTTACAGAAATAAGTATTTTAAATGGTGGACTTGATCAAATTAGGCTAACTAAGCTCAGCTGACTCTGCAGGTATAACGTTTTGGAATGCCTGCCTGAATAAAAGAATTTTTGTGACTTTTTAAAAGTTGCTAGTGAAGGGACCAGATGAATTGCAGGGGGAATTCATTCCACAGCTGAGGAGCAGCTGAGAAGGCCCAGTTTTCATCTCCCACCAGGCCTTGCTCAGGGTTAGCATCCTCAGCTGGCCTGCTTGGGATGTTCATGTAGAACGGGCAGATCCAGTTAGGTGTAGACGTTCTGCCAAGTGCTGAGGTCCCAAACCATTTAGGGCTTTGTAAGTTTGAACCAAACCAAACAGAAAAAAGATAAAAATGTGGCACTTTAAAGACTAACTATTACAGTAGGAATCTCAGTTTGTTTTGTTTTGTTTCTTTGGATTTTGCCTGATAATGCTTGCACAGATTAACACAGCTACCTCTTCCTAAATTAGAACCATCACCTTGAAGCTGGCACAGTGATGGACAGGTTACCCATGTAAGGCAGCCAGAATTGGGGTGATATGATGATATTTTTTAACTCTGCCCAGTAACCTGGCTACCATGTTCTTCACCTGTTGAAGTTTCCGTGACAGCCTCATAAGGCAGCCTCATATAGAGTGTTGCAGTAGTCTAATCTTGAGCCTACCCATGTGTGCACCAATGTGATGAGGGACCTACTTTCGAAGTAGGGATGCTACTCCCACTAGCCTTTCTGTTCCATGGCTTTGGGTGGTGTTAATCTCTCATTACTCAGCAGTTCAAACATTCATATACTGGTATGCGTCCTTGCTTTCTCTTTTCTCACACTTACCTGGCACAAAGTTTCCCTTGCACCCTTTTAAAAGCAGGGTGGCTCAGTGCATTGCAAAGTTTGGTGCCAACTGAGATTCCTACTGTCACTGTCTTTGTTTCAAATGTGTCTTGGTTCATTTGAGGGTTTTGGTTTGCTGTAACCCTGGCAATCATATGAAATGAAAAGTAGTACCATCTTAGAATAGAAGAGTAGCGGAATGCTACGGCTTATTTAGAAATAGTTTGTACTGAGTGACTCCAAGAGTTGTGGGAGCTGACAACCTGATGGTAATCCAGGAGATTTTATTTGCAGGTTTCACCACTCCATAATTTTGCGATTATGGGAGTTGTAATCTAAAATAGGTAGGACGTGGTGGATTGCTTACATTATCTACCTCTTGATTTGAATTATTTTGCTTCACAAATTCACTAGAAAATATTTGCAAATGTAGAATTTTCTGTGGAGTTGAGCCCAAATTGCTTTTGAATCTTTGGAGTCATTTAGAACTTTGATATAGGTTGAAGTTTTCAATTCGTGGGTAAACAGAAAAAAGAAGCACTTGGTTGGGACTATATTCTAGGACTAGGATAGAAAAGGATCACAAACAACATTTCAACATTTTATGATTGCCACTGGAAATTCATTTATTATTGTTATGTGTCATCAAATCATACTCAGTTTTTTAAAACCTTGTGATTAGCCGGCCAAATCATTGTTTATTTCTTCAGAGTCAGGACTCTGGTTCTGACAATCATATAAATACAGTAAGCCTCAAAGAAGCATTGGAGAGATTTGATCATAGCCCAACACCTTCTGCCTCCTCAAGAAGTTCAAGGAAATCTTCCCATACTGCAGTCTCAGATCCTTCATGTGAGTGTTTAGAATGAAAACTAGTTATGCATAAGTTTATTGTCTTTGTTTATGTCTGTTTATGATAATTAAATTTTGAACCCATGTGATTACAAAAGTATAATTCATAAATTTAATTTACTATAAAATAGTTTTTCAAAGATCTACAGATTTACTTTGTTAAATTAATTGCTTGGTCCAAGTATATATGTGCACATTCAGGATGCTGGAGATGACGATATGTAAAAGTATCCTTGTTTGGCTTCAGCAACACCAACAAAGATGACAATGGATACTAGCACTCCTCCAAGGCAAAATTTATCCACTCATGAAAAATCTGCACAAAGGAGGGCATCACTTGGTAATCAGGTAATTTCTAAGAAAATAACTTTTTCATTTATATCAGTTTAGCTGGTAAGTATTCCTAACAAGTAGATATGTACATAGTTATATACAAGTACAGTGGTGCCTCGCTTAACGAGCGCCTCGGTTAATGACAAATCCGCATAGCGACAGATTTTTTGCGATCGCAAAAGCGATCGCATTGCAATGTTTTTAATGGTAAAACATTGCTTTGCGATGATCGGTAAGCTGTTTTGTTTACCGATTTTCGCATAGCGATGTTTTAAAAACAGCTGATTGGCGGTTCCAAAATGGCCACCGGAAAAAAAATGGCCACCCGCAGTGTTCTCGCGCCCATTCCTCGCATACCGGGCAGCAAAAATGGCAGCCGTATGGAAGATTTTCGCATAACTGTGAGTTTTAAGCCCATAGGAACGCATTAAACGTGGTTTAATGCATTCCTATAGGCTTTTTCTTTTCGCATAGCAACAAATTCTGATAGCGACGATTTTTCCGGAACGGATTATCGTCGCTGTGCGGGGCACCACTATACTGTTTTTCATTCTAGTCTCTCTGAAACCATACTAATCAGCTTTCCTTCACATGTGCAGAAAATTCTAAAACTTTTAAAAGCTGTGTTGATGCAATTTAGTGTGACTCTTCAAACTCTGTAGCATATGTCTATACCTGTTCCTTCTGTGTCTCAATTTCCTTTTGTCCCCTACTGAGGCAGTGTTTTTAAAATTCTCGTCCATTTTTTTCTATGCTCTCTAAACAATTTCCTCCCCTTCTAATTTGTGATCCTGTCCATTACAGTTTACATTATTGTGATATAAAACTTTAGTTTTCGCCTTTTTTTTCTGCATCCATCATGACACCTTCAACGCAATCTGCTCTTTCTGTTCTTGCTTTCTTGAGATCTACACCAATTACAACAATTCCACTTAGTTATGTAAGCAGAAAGTGAGGAGGAATTAAAGAACCTCTGAATGAGGGTGAAAGAGGAGAGCACAAAAAATGGTCTGAAGCTCAACATCAAAAAACTAAGATCATGGCCACTGGTCCTGCCACCTCCTGGGAAATAGAAGGGGAAGATACGGAGGCAGTGACAGATTTTACCTTCTTGGGCTCCATGATCACTGCAGATGGTGACAGCAGCCACGAAATTAAAAGATGCCTGCTTCTTTGGAGGAAAACAATGACAAACCTAGACAGGATCTTAAAAAGCCAAGACATCACCTTGCCGATAAAGGCCCGCATGGTCAAAGCTATGGTTTTTCCATTAGAGATGTATGGAAGTGAGAGCTGGACCATAAAGAAGGCTGACCGCCAAAGAATTGATGCTTTTGAATTGTGGTGCTGGAGGAGTCTCTTGAGAGTCTCCTGGACTACAAAGAGAACAAACCTATCCATTTTGAAGGAAATCAACCTTGAGTGGTCACTGGAAGGACAGATCCTGAAGCTGAGGCTCCAATACTTTGGCTATCTCATGAGAAGAGAAGATCCCTGAAAAAGCCCCTGATGTTGGGAAAGTGTGAAGGCAAGAGGAGAAGGGGACATCAGAGGATGAGATTTTTGGACAGTGTCATTGAAGCTATCAACATGAATTTGACCCAACTCCGGGAGGCAGTGGAAGACAGGAGGGCCTGGTGTGCTCTGGTCCATGGGGTCACAAAGAATTGGACATGACTTAATGACTAAACAACAACAACAGCACATAAGAGATACCACAGATGTCCTAAGGAAGCTTCATTCCACACACAATCTTCCTGATAACACCGTCCTAGCTACAGGGGATGTAGAGGCACTCTATACTAATATTCCACACAAAGATGGACTACAAGCTATCACAAACACCATCCAAAACAAGGAGGAAACTCACATAATCACCTCTCTGTTTGTACTCACACAAAACTATTTCATCTTTAACAATAAAACCTATCGCCAGATTAATGAAACTGCAGTGGGGACCCGCATGGCCCTACAATATGTGAACATATTCATGGCAGACCTGGAACAGTGCTTTCTTAACTGCTGCACACAAAAGCCATTCCTCTATTTGAGGTACATTGGTGACATTTTTCTAATATGGACCCATGGAAAGGAATCTAGAAGAATTCCAACAGGATTTCAATAACTTCGACCCAAACATCAACCCCACTCCGGAACAATTATGCAGTAGGTGCATTTTCTAGACACCATGGTTAAATTACAACATGGACATCTTAACACCACACTGTACTGGAAACCCATCAATTGATATACCTACTTGCAGTCTTCCAGCTTCCATTCTGAACACAGAACAGAATCCATACATCCAAGCCCTAAGATACAACTGCATTTGCTCTGACCCACAAGATAGAAACTCCAAAGTCAGGGATCTACAAAAGGCACTCCTTGGACTACAGTACCCACCCCATATGATCAAGGAACAAATCGACAAAGCAAGATGCATACCTAGAAGTAACTTACTGCAAGAAAGACCCAGAAGACAAAATGACAGAACGCCGCTAGTTGTCACAGTCCACAATTGAGACCACTCACATGCATGTTAAGTGGTCTCCAGCCCATCCTCAACAAGAACACTTCACTCTCCAAAGCCCTTGGTGGGAGACCCTCCAACCTCAAGCACAATATACCACAAAACAACAATACAGATGGGGGACTAAATCCTGTCACAGACCCACATACCAACTGTACCCACACATCTATTCTGGCAACATAGTCACGGGACCTCACAATGCCACACACAATATCACAGGCACCTTCATTTGTTCCTCAGCTTATGTGATCTATGTCATCTTTTGCCCACAGTGCCCCTCTGCACTCTACATAGGACAGACAGGACAGTCTCTACAGAAACGGATCAACAACCACAAATCTGACATCAGAAATGACAATACACAGTAACCTGTCTTCAACTATTTCAGTCTACCCAGACACTCTGGAAGATTTAAAAGTCACTAGGTTCGAACAGAATCATTACAAATAAAAAATACAGAGGGAAATAGCTGAGATAAAATTTGTACACATGATGGACACCCATATAAATGGATTGAATATAAGTCTTGGTTTCTTAAGTCATTACCAAATATAATACTTCTGTTATTATTCACTGCTGCCACTGTTATTTTCTTCACAACTACCAAGCCCATCTCTCATCACGAGCTTCAAAGACAAAAGCTGTCAATATTTCCTACATTAACATATATGATTCCTCTGCTATCTTCTTTCATGATTATATTTAGTTTCATGTACTCTTTCCCCCACTTTTAATTGAACCCAAATCTTCCAAAAAAAAACACAACACCCCACACCACTTGTCTCTCTTTTCTCTTCCCCACCCCCCGATCTTTGCTCAGACCTGGTGTCTTTTTTCTGTTTCCTGGAGGAATTTTTACCTTGAAATAAACATAGGCCTAATTACTGCTTATAGCCAATGAGTATTTAGAATATTCTGCTTGTGAACCTGATATTTCATCCACTAGTATGAGTTCATAGATGACCACTTGGAGAACCAGTTACAAATAAGTAATCTGTTTTCACATTCCATATATTTTTTGTACAGTGTAACCTTATAGCCAGTGGCAGAATGTATGTGCCAGCTTATAAAAGGCCAGTTTGTTCCACATAAGCAAGAAAAGGTGGCATATTGGAGCAGGGAGCTATTTCAGACTTCTTCTTTGGCTCTTGCTTTGTCTACCTTTGTACACAGTATCTTGTGTGTAGAATCGTTGGTATGAATATGTGTATTCCAGGGCAAAATAAAAAGCAAAAAACTTAGAAGCATCAAATGGTACAAAGTGACCCAAACTGCATGTCAGCATCTTACTGCTTTCTACTTAATGTTACAGGAGGAAAGGAAAATTTCATTTGGGTTTCAGTTTCCCTAAACTGTACCTTGGCACTGAATGTCATGGAGACAAACATTAATTATCTATGATAGAAATTGGCTTTGCTAATTATGTCATGCACGTATGTTTTTAAATCCTAGTCTTTAAATTCACAACCTGTTGGACAACCATTAGCGCAACCAATGATGTCTCAGCCTGCAACTTTACAGATTCAACAAGGCATGACTCAGGTAACAATTAAATCTGAACAAACATTGTGATGCAAGCAACCAAAAACATAAAAATCAGATTAATTGATATAGGACTTAATCTTTGCTTTTGGCCAGGATTCAACATCATTGATTCAGAAAACAGAACTTATATTTTAAAAATTATAATAATGTAGATTGATTGCCTGGTTAAAATGGAATTTATTTATATATATTAGAAATTCCATTCTAACTAGGCAATCAACCCAGGCAGTTTTATATAAATCCTGTAATCCTGTTTAGATGAAAATAGTTATCAGCAGTGTTCTGTCTAATTTTCAGCCCTGCTGGGCAGGGCTCCATCCCTCATATCCATGACTCTGCTCCCCCCCCCCCATGGGGTTCTGTTACAACTAGAATCAAAGGGACTGGAAACTGTTGCTGTGGGTGTGCAGAGGAGAAGGAGGAGCCCTGCGGTGGGGAGGGGTGTTTGGCGTCATTCGTGCTCACACAGCCATATATATACCTTAGAGGAAACCTTGGTTATCTGTCATTTATGTTTTGATTCTGTTATTTAAAACACGTATGATTTCTGTATTCTTAGGAGTTTAGAAACCGGATTCTCATCAGGCTTTGTAAATTTTGAATTTTGTCATGAGAGTAGTATAAAGATATTATTTGGTCTGTGGAATAAACATTTTCTGAAAAATCTCAAAATACATTGCTGGTGCTGCTTACCTTTCCAGAGTTTACATAAAATAGAAAATCACTAATATTTTAGTGAAATTACATATAGTATATTATTACTTAACCCAGACTATTTTAAATAACCAGACCTTACTTAAAACTTGGTAAGTCACTGCTAACACATAATTTTGCTAGGGGTCTGGATGTATAACATGACTCAGTAAAGTGGTTTCATTGAAGATTATAAATAGTCCTGATTCAGCTAGTACCTCTGTAGGTATGTCTAGTTACTTCTACACAAATTCACCAAGCCAGCTCTGAATATGGCACTATTCAAGTATGGTAAAATGATATTTTTGGTTTTCATTGAATAGAATGCCAAGATACAATTTAAGCATACACTAAAAGAGAGAAAAAATCTCATGCAAATTCTTTTAAACCATCAGATAGATGGGTACTGCAGATTACTGGCCAAGAGCATCTTAGCACTGAATCCCTAATAACTTCCTTTATTGGAAAAATGTTCCAAATCCACAAGGACATGTTTTTAGCTGCATCTTCATCCCATACATAACAGATAAGGTATTTTTCAGCACAAACCTTACTAGCTCTATTATTTAAACAAGGATTGTTTGGGAGTTCTGTCCTTTCCCTCTGAGTCAACTTGGATTTGTGTAATTGGAAGTTGAAAAGAAAGTCCCTTCTATAATAACCTTGTATCATGTGTTTCCTTTTCTCTTAATTTAGTACATCCAATTTTCTTGCAGTTTATTGTAATATTCTTCTCAAGTAATCAACGTGTTCTATGCTAAAGGCTTTCAAAAGCACAATCCTTGTTAGACACCCAACTTGTGACTTTAATTTACATATAATTATTTCAGGTTGCAGAAAGTTGATAGCAGAATGTTTATAGCAGTTGATAATTCTTTTTCTGATAGCGTGCTAGTTACTGATTCAGATTTTTTTCTTGCTTTTTGCTTATATGTTACTTTTCAGCCTATGCTTCAGTTTTCTGCTCAGCTGGGAGCTATGCAACATTTAAAGGACCAATTGGAACAAAGAACACGAATGATAGAAGCAAACATTCATCGTCAACAGGAGGAGCTGCGTAAGATTCAGGAACAACTCCAAATGGTCCATGGGCAAGGGCTCCAGGTACAGCTGATCAAATGCCAGCATGGCAAGAGAAATGATTTTTTTAATTCAGTGAATAAGTATTGACTTAAAATTTTAATGCTGTAGCATTTACTTTTGTCTTCTCTAATAGTAGCCATCATATTTCATTGGCATCCTTTATATTGGTAACTAATATACTTTGTTCTTCTAAAAACTCTATTGTATGTTTTGCCATTAATTAGAGAGAAGTTTAAAGCATGCTGCATTTTACAGTACAGTGGTGCCTTGCTTAGCAATGTTAATCCGTGCAGCAGAAATCGCTGCTAAGCGATAACATCGCTAAGCGATTTTAAAAAACCCACAGAAACGCATTAAAACGCGTTTAATGCGTTCCTGTGGGCTTAAAAACTAACCGTATGCGAAAATCCTCCATTGTGGTGGCCATTTTTTGTGCCTCTAAAGCGAGGCAAAACAGTGGGCGGCCATTTTTTTCCCAGCATCCATTTTGCAACTGCCGATCAGCTGGTTGAAAATGGGGGCTTTGCGATGATTGTTTCTCTGCGATCATCGCAAAGCAGATTTTCCCCATAGGAAACATTGCAAAGCGATCACTTTTGCGATCGCAAAAACAGTGTCGCTAAGCAATTTCACCGTAAAACGGAGCGATCGCTAAGCGAGGCACCACTGTATATGACATTTGCCAGGGAAAAAAAGCAAAATTCTATAAACATTTATTCAGAAAGAGCTGTTATTTGCATTCAATGAGATTCACTTCCAGATAGATGCGTAAAGTGTGGCAGGATAAGCATGACATACCGGTTGGTTTAATAAAGCTGTTTCTGACAAGCAGTAAAATTACACAAACTAATAGCACAATTTTTTTTACCCATAACATTAAAGATTTGGTTAACAAAACAAAATGAAATGATTTTGTTTCATTTGAATGCTCCTTAGTATTTTAAACACTAGCATGTGTTCTGTTCTCTGAAAGATGTTCTTACAGCAGTCTACTCCTGGATTAAACTTTGGATCTGTCCAGCTGACTTCTGGAAACCCTTCAAATATTCAACAGATTACACCACTAAACATGCAAGGTCAGGTTGTTCAAACTAATCAGATCCAAGGTGGCATGAACACTGGGCATATTGGTACTCAGCACATGATACAGCAGCAGCCCCTACAAAATACTACAGGACAGGTATTTATTACTTTCAAGAGAAATCCTGAAGGTGTTATACTGCTATGTGCTTGCTTCATTGGAAAAAAATCCATCTTATTTGTTATAGCTTGTAAACACAATTTTTAATTGGAACTGTGTGTTCAGTTGTAAATAACAAACTTTTGTCAAATCAAGCTTCCCAAAGCCTGGAAAATTATTTAATTCTCTTCATTGTTAGGGCACCTTAAAGACACATCATGTAGTTGTCAGTATTCTTTCTCCTTTACTTATGGCTGTTTTTAAAGGAGAGCATATCATATAACCTAGAGATGGATTTCAGAAACCCCCAAAGAGAAAGAAATAGGAGCTACATTTCCACCTTCTTCAATAGGATCAGTCAGTGGGAAACTACAGGGAAGGGGCAGAGTTTGTGCCTTTATCTGCATTGAACTGTCCAGATGTTGGCAGATGAGTATACATTCTGAACCTTTCAAAACCTGGACTTGAAGAACTGTGAGAGAATTGTGTGATTCTACTAACCTAGTTACTCTTAACCTCCTCTGGGAGAGTTTAATATCCTGATATGATAACTTTGGATCTGTATTCTCCTTGACTTAAAAGTGATAAATTTCAGATTTCTTTAAAAGGAAAAAAAATAGTTTGCCAGCACTTTGTTTTTAAAAATGGAATTATTTCAAAATACAATGGTGCCTCGCAAGACGAATTTAATTCATTCCGCGGTTAATGTTGGCTTGTGAAAAATTCTTCTTGCGAAACGCGTTTTCCCATAGGAATGCATTGAAATCTAATTAATGTGTTCCTATGGGCAAAAAAAGTCAGAACAAAGTCAAATTTGGTTTACAAAGGGTTATTAAGTGCATTTTTAAAGCCATACGTAATTGTGCAGATGATTTAAAAATTTTCAGTCAAAAAACTTTAACTTCTAAAACATCATAGAAAAACATTTAAAAATCAGCAAACATGAGGCAGGGAAAAAAAACGGAAAACATTCTTCTTGCGAAGCATGGCCATAGGAACATTTGTCTTGCGAGTCATCAGCGCCCCCGCCCCCCCCATTGCCAAAACCATTTGTCTTGCGAGTTTTAAGTCCTGCGAGTCATTTGTCTTGTGAGGCACCACTGTATCAGTATAATAAAAGCAAGACAATTGAATATGTAAGTAGTGGCTGGAATCATACTGGCATTTGTGTTAGGTTTGAGGTTTGTCTAAAACTTTGTTTACTGTGGCTACTTGCAGCCAAGTGATATTATGTCTGGGCATATACCGGTTGTACAGTCAGGTGATCAAGATGAACTCTGACACCTCATCAGTACTGGTCATTTCAGTTGCTATCTCTGCATCTTTTGAAGACATTTTGCCTCTCATTCCCCAAATATATTTCTTGTGATGACCCATTATTTCAAAATAAATACTGTAGTCCTTTTCATTTTGTTCATTAAAACGAAGGTGATGCTTAACAAGATACAATCTAAACTTTTGTCAGTCTTAGGGCAGAGTACATACATGGATTGTGCCTTTATGACAGAACTTCTGTTTCTAGATGTTCATATCTGTTTATAATGACATCTAAACTAACAAGTGTTATTACACAGCATAATTAAATAATAATTAGCATTTTTATTTAACCCATATTACACAGTACTCTGTAGTTTTTATTTAATCTATATTACACACCAGTTGTAGTATTTGGAGTGGTTTAGATCTGTTCATTCATACTGAATAGTCCTATTTTCTTTAAAAAAATTATCTTTCTGCAGCATAGTCAACAAAACATTCTCAGTGGCCACAGTCAACAGACAACTCTCACTTCTCAGTCTCAGAACACGCTGCCCACCCCACTTTATAACACTATGGTGATTTCCCAGCCGGCTGCAGGCAATGTGGTTCAAATTCCTTCTACTTTACAGCAGAATAATAACCAGAATGCTGCCATTACCACTTTTACACAGGATAGACAAATCAGGTGAGTATTAAGAGAGACAAAGGGAACCTTTAGCAAAATATGCCACAGTATGAAGTGCTTTTCTGCGGTGTTCCAGCGAACTGTGCCACCTTTTAGAACATCCCATTCCATTTCCTCCTGTAACCACCATAATCAGTTTTCTAACAATTCCTTCAACTGATACTTCTCATTCTGTGGGTACTTAGCACCCTCAGCTCTGACCAGGATGGGGAGGGAGTTGCTCCTCTAGGTGGGTTTTTTTTAATCCTTCCTAAATATTTTTCTTAGTGTGCTTTTTTCTTCTGATCTCTCAGGAGCCATGCTTTGTCTCAGAATTCTGTATCTGAGCTCACTTTTGGTATATGTAATAGTTCCTTTTAGGGACAACTTGCTTGGAGGTATTTCTTTTCAAGTATTCAGTGTTGATTTTTTTTTAAGTGTCTTTAGATGGCAAAATAAGGTTCATGTTATGACTGCATTTCTGGTGGAGGCTGTCAAAGGCCAAAGTTCAGAGTGTGTGTGTGGGGGGTCAGCATTTAACAGCAATCCTGTGAGGTAGACTACTGCCAGTCCTGTACAGCTCTGGCTGGACGATGCGACTCCTGTCTCATATGGATGGATGCCCCAGTGGTCTAAAAAATTGAGGATCCAGAGTCTTAGACCAAAACTTATTTCCAATATATAGTAGCAGTGAACCAAACAGGCACTAACCTTCATACCAAAGACTTTCCTATGTAAAGTGTGCATGAACCCAACCTTAAGGAGTTCATACTTATATTTATATCTAGGTACAGAGGTTGACAGGGTGACTATGGGTACCAGTTACTCAGCACCAGCCTGCAGTGATAGGCCATTGCCTTCATACTTTGTTTGTGAATTTCCTAAGGGTTGCAGTGGCCAGCCTTTGTAAGGTTCTCCCTGGGAACCTGGCAACTACTTTTACATCCTTCTCATGCCAAGTAAAGACCTTGACCTAAATCCAGTTCCTAGTCCCAGTAGAAATGGGATTTGAACCAGGTCTAGCAAGATTTAATTTGTTTTTTAAAAGGCTGCTACATGACATACAAGAAAACGTGTTGCCCCCCCCCTCCACATTTTTCTGTTTGGGAGGGTGTTATTTTAACTCCTCTGCCAGTGGCCGTTTTAGGAATTGGCTTCCCCAATGTGCACTCCTCCATTATGAGAAATTGCTCCCCATTTCTGTGTCACCATGCTAGTTTTTCTATGTGTGCATTTGGCTTTCCTCTGCCAGGGAAGGAGGAGAGGTGGGTAGGAGGAAGGCTGTTTGCCATTTGAAAGCGAGACTTCACTGTTGCCTCCTGGAAAGAAGGAAGAGGTGAGGTGATGGCGTTGGCAGCAGCAAAGACGTGTGTGTGTGTGTGTGTGTGTGTGTGTGTGAGAGAGAGAGAGAGAGAGAGAGAGAGAGAGAGACTGTCCAGCCTTGAGGGAAGCAAGTGGGAAAGCCTGAGGTGCAGGTTTGATGAAGCTGTCTTCAGACAAAAAAATGGATCTAAAACACAGATCCTCATGGATTCATATGGGTTGTGTAGGGTCATCCCCAAAACATTCTCCGTCGTAGGCATCATTTCTGCCTACAGTTTGAAAAGTGGCTTGGGGCAAATCCCATGTTAAAATGGTGTGGATTCATGAGAGTCCATGCTTGGATCAGTTTTTGCACCACTGCAAAACCCTTCATTTCTGTGAAATATTCTTTGGATACAAATGAGACATAGGTGTTGACAGTGTTTCGGGTGAGATCTGGTGCTAAAATGTTGGATTACTCCTCTCCCCCTCTCTTTCCTCACCACAATAGCAGGGCTGAGTGGCCAGTGTGAGGGCAGGGCAGGTGGGCACAGGACAAAGACTCAGATGAAAAGTTCCCAAGAGAATGCATGCACTGACCCAAATACCATGCGAATGCCATGTAATTTCTAAATCAGTTCCATTTAGAATGGAGCTTATTGCAAGGCAAATATAAATGTAGACAAGCCCTAAGAGAAGTAACTGATATTTTTCTTTCACAGATTTCCCCAGGGTCAGCAACTCGTAACAAAATTAGTCACTGCCCCAGTAGCTTGTGGAGCAGTCATGGTGCCGAGTACTATGTTTATGGGCCAAGTGGTGACTGCCTATCCCACGTTTGCTGCGCAACAGCAACAACCACAGACATTATCAATAACTCAGCAGCAACAGCAGCAGCAGCAGCAGCAGAGCCAGCAGGAGCAACAGCAGCAGCAGCAACAGCAGCAGCAGCAGAGCCAGCAGGAGCAGCAACAGCAGCAGCAACAGCAACAGCAACAGCAACAGCAACAACTTGCTGCTGTTCAGCAGCCAACTCAGACCCAGCTAAGTCAGCATCCACAACAATTCTTACAGGTGAAGCCACATGTTCTTGCCTTATAACCAGCTTGTCAGTGCATAATGCTCATCTTGTGTAGGTCTAATTGTATATTTTTCAGTGCTGATTTCCTGTCACCTTGATTTTGCATTTTAAACTACATAATATTGGCAGGTTCTGCCCTTGAAAGGATGGCAGTTTAAATCAGTCTTGGGATCACATCTTGAGGAGTTCAGCCAAGGGAAGAGTAAAGAGGTGCATTGCCATTAAGGAATTCTCCACCTATGACTTGCCTCATTTGTGCTGCCAGAACACAAAGCATGTGGAGCACTTGTGCTTTCCGTAGAAATCACTTGTGTGTTCTTTCCGCATTGACACATCCCCGTAATAAAATATGTTGCTTTGGAAGTCCAACAGAGCTTCTTAGCTTTTTCCACATGATGATGCATAGCTGGTAGTGGTTATTAGTAAAAGGCATGAAAAAGCAAGTGTGTATGTATGTTAGTACTTAGGGTTGTTATTTTAAATGTATTTTTACTACTGTTTTTATCTATTAATTTCATTATTATACTCTTTTTCAAACATTGTAATTAATGTTTTGGCTTCTAATGTTGTTTCTTTTAATACTGTAAGCTGCTTTGGGTCTTTTTTATGAGAAAGGCAACATATAAATATTTTGGAGTCCAAAAAAGAAAAGAGAAGAAATTCAAATGGCACTTATCTAATACAGTACTTTCTTTGTCCTGATTCTTTCTTTGCGTCTTACTTATTTATTTAAAATAAAATAAACGTTAAAGAAAGAATCAGCAACAAAGAAAGTGTTAGATATGTATTTTTGTTTATTTGTTTGTTTTTTTACAACAGCTTCCAGAACTCTCCAAAAATTACACAGGTGGAATTCTGGACACCATTGTCCTTCAGGTGCTTTTTGTAGAGTCTAAAGGGAAGCAAGACTACAATACTCAAGAAGTATTGTGTCAGCTTTCTCCCAAGAAGCATTGTAGCAGGAAAGAACGCAGTTTCAGAAGGCTGGACCCTGCTCCAGGCAAGGAAAATACAGGTGTCTGAAGGCATAACTCTTTGGACTAGAACTCCCAGAATTCTTAGAGAATTTGGAGAGTTAGAATCCAAAAAAATTAGAATAGCACATCCTGAGAAAGTATTCAGTACAGCTTTGCTTTTCAGACTGAGGAGATTTTCAAAAGAATTTGTGACATGACGTGGAAATCAGATGTTTGGGGGGAGGAATTCAGTTCTTTCATAAGAGTAGCCTTTTTTCTGGTCATTATTTTTCACTGTGTACCTCACTGAGTGCTAGAAAATAAGGGAGTTGGGAGAGGGGAGAAGTGAGACATGACATGACTTGGCAAAATAGAAACTTGAAATATAATTTAAAGTAAGAAGAGGAACTTACAGAGCAAGTGTTCTGGGATGTATCTTGAAGAGCACCTATGAGAGAAGAAGGCTGCATTTTTTGTCAAAAGGAGGAGTGTGCTAATCAGAAGGTCAGCATATGAGACTAAATACTTGAAAGTACTGCTTTCCAGCCCAAATGTGAATGTGATGATTAATGTGATAGTAAGAACACAAAATGCCACTAAATTAAGCTTTCAAGTATCATACTATGCCCCTTTGTACTATGAGAGTCCAGATATCTTAATTTTCTCTCATTTGTATATTTTTTTAGACATCCAGGTTGCTCCATGGAAATCAGTCTACTCAGCTTATTCTTTCTGCTGCTTTCCCACTACAACAAAGCACTTTTACTCCGTCACACCAGCAGCAGCATCAGTCCCAACAGCAGCAGCATCAGCAGCAACAGCAGATCTCACGACACAGAACTGACAGTATGACAGAGGCTTCCAAAATCCAGCCACAATAATGTGCAGCTGTGCTCTGGGAGCAAGCCAGAAAAAGAGGCTGCCAGTGGATGAGAGAGAGGCCTAAAGACTTCACGAAATGCAGTTTTGAATATTATTCTAAATGCTTGGAATATATCTGTTGAAACGTATAATGTAAAATGCTGATGCAACTTCAGTAGGCAAAGGTACAAAAGATGCTGGGAGACATGGCCACCTTTGCTAGAGATGTAGGTGTTCCACATTCTGTATTTTGTTCCTCCTTCAAAGACACATTCTGCCGTGTGTTAATTTGTTCAGATCAAGTCTCAAAATGTTCAGTGGACTAAATAGGGCATTTAAATATTGTGACGTTTTAAGCAGCTCTCTCAGATTAAGTGTTACAATGGACATGCTGTTGCTGCAGCAGTTGTTTGGAGTTTTTTGTTTTGTTTTGTTTTGTTTGTTTCTCTCTCTTTTTTAGTATGCCTGCAATTATGCTCCAAAAGAAGGTTAATTTTTTTCATATTATGGGACAGTAAATATTTTCAAAATATTGTGTGGAATCAATCTTCATTGTACAGATATTGTAAAATACTGTGTATATGTCTGGACAAAAAGAGAGCAGAATATTTTATATGATGCATGAAACTGTTGGGTTGAACATTTCCCCCTAACTTTTCACACAGTGCTCAAATTGCTGTCTTCAACTCTTACATCTGTTTGTCTTCTACAACATGCACCATCATTTGTTTTCATCTGTTATATGAGCACAAGTCTTCTCTTTCTGGTTTATGTGTGATTTCATGGTTTGTCCAATGAGGTAATACCGTATGCTGGTTTGTGGAATTTTGAGGTTAAATTATTGATGAAACTCTTTGAATTGTGCAGGGCGGGGGTTTCAAGATAATTGGTTTTATAAATATCATTTGTCATTTCATTAATACTCAGAAAAAGTGATTTGGGCAAAAAAAAAAAAAAGGATTTTGCACTGCTCTGTTGCAGATGGTTTGGAATTTTACTTCCCCAAAGCTATCTTTTGATATAATAAATAAATGAAAATATTTATGTACAATTAAGGTTTAAAAATATGAAAGTAGTTTTCAAGAATGTTTTAAGTACAGGAGTAATTTGCACAAGAATATATTTGACTTTAATAATTCTAGGCACTTTTTAACCTCTGTGGTGAGAAATGTAACCTCGGAATTTGTTGGAATCTTTTTATTCTTCTTTGAAAATTGCAACCTTTGTTTATTCAGAAATGATTCAGGGTCATTTGAAACAGAACAAACCCATAGTGCCTTGATTTTGATTCAGGTGATAATGTTCAACATTTCAAATTATATTATACTGAATATGTGACTATTTTTGAAGTCTTAGTACATTGTTTACAAAACATTCTTCATTGTGATGTACTGTATTTGTATATACAAGTATTTGGAGATTCATATAAGCTGAGAATTGAGCATTTATTTGTTTTTTTTTTAAGTTTGGCATTCTACTTTTCAACAGTTATCCGTGCAGGCAGCATAATGGGTTGACTTAGTTTTTGACGTATTAATCTGTTAAGAAATTCACTTCTAAATGATACAAAGCCAGAAGCAAATAGTAACTAATGTGGCCACTTTGTAAAGCAGCTCTAAGTGAAGTCTGCTGAAATTTAATGGAAGATATAAATTCAAATAAAATCTGAGCTCCATTTTCTAACTGCACTAAGACTTCGGATAGCAAATTCCCTTCATAAAGATAATAAAAAGATCCAACACAAATTCTGTACAGTTTCAAAATAACCATTGAGTGGATTTTATGGTACTGGTTTTAAAAACCACATCTACAGAGCAAAAAATGAGTTTTAATTACAAAGGTAGATTAGAAAAAGCCTGATTGTGAGGAAGGAATGTCCAAGCCAAGAAAGATGGTGTATTATAGAGGAGCTTTATTCATGTAACCAAAGGGTTGAAATGCTGAGAATGTAGTGCTGGGAGAACCAATGTGCAAGAAACGCAGCACCGTAATAGTAAATGATAGCAGCAGTTTTATTTGAGGCTAACTTTTAGAGTCCCTTTCTTTCCCATCATCTTGCAGGAGCCCCTGACAAACATATGCTCATCATAGCCAGTAGTCTAGTTGCACAACCATAAGGAAAAGAGATGGAATTTTGAGAATAGAGAGCCAAAGAGTTGGATTATTTTCTGTTTTGCTGGGTAAGGTATGGAAATCAAGGTCTGGAAACCTCCTACTGTATTCTTTAAAGGGACTTTGTGGTATCCCCTTAGATATCCAAAACATGTAAGAAGCATATATTGTGAGGGGGGGGGGACCTGTAAACATATATTTCAGGTAGCTTTGTCCTGCTGTAATCTGCTTGTAATCCCATATTAGGTTATGTAGAACAAAGGTTTCTGCTTTAGTTATGTTATTTTAGTGAATGGTCATCCTCGTGGATTTTAATTGATTTATAACAATATACAGTAGCACTAAATAAGATCATTGGGAAAGCTTTTATAGTGCATGTAGACAAAGATGGTAAGGCTGTAGTGTTTAAATCTCGGAATGTAGAGCACAGCTGACTTTTGATGGCATAAACCCCTTCCTTTTTGGCTGTTTCTTAAGCAGAAATTCATTCAGTGCTAGGTGCAGTGTTTTTCTGAGATTCCTGAGCAATTGCTGCAAAAAGTGTAAATTTTAGAGGAGCACTGAGAAAGTGGGAAAAAAAAGGTTTAGAAATAGTTTAGTAATAATTCCGGTTATGTTAACAGAAAAGTACAGGAAAAAAGCCTTGACAGATGATGGCCCTGATCTGTCAGGGCTCACTCTATTGTGTCTGCAGAATATTTGTTTTCACTAAAACAGGAGGGAAATTAGGTTCTGATGCTTGCTCTCATAATAACTATTGTTTCTGCAAGGTTTTTGTCTTATCCCAGTAGATGCTGTATGAGTGAATGCTTTGCCACCTGGAATTTAATATGGCCAAATGTTTGCTTGGAGCTGGTGGTGGGGAAGATGGATCGGATGAGCATGGTGAAAATTTGTGAATGAATGTTATGGGTAATGCACTAGTGCTAAAACAACAACAAAGCCATCAGAAGTATGATGAATTGCTGCTGGAGAAATATGGTTCAGGTTTCTGTTAATTTGCAGATGGGTGGGAAGGGAAGAAGGCTCAGAGATGAGCCCCTGGGAATGTTAGAGGGAATTGTATAAATTTTTATATTATATTTAATATATACTATATTTGTACACATATTAAAAGATTATAGTCAGATCTGTCCATATGCCTTCCATTATTTTTATCTAGACGTTTACTTGCTGGTGCTAGGGCTCCAGTGTGTTACAGCGTTCTGTAGGCTGCCCACCTGCTGCCAACCAATAACAACAAAAATATCTTCACATCCATATGACAACTGCAAAGCTGTTGATCCTAATTCAGGTAGATGCTTAAGGATATGCCTGATCAGTGGCTAGAATCATTGGGGTTAATAATAGGCAGGGTAAGCTGAGTTATGGGCAGGACAGGAGAAACTGCATTTGAAACAAGGTTGTGGAAACAGGGATCTGCTGATTCCAACAATCTTTTTACTGGCCCTTGGGCTGTCCAAAGAAAGCAACATAACTGGTCCAGATGAGAGTGATCCCAAAGATTATTTGTTGTCATATCTAGAAAAACTGGTAAGTGAAATAAAAAGCTTTCGTGGATTAAACACCGCTTTGTCAGGATTGTACCAGTGTGAAGGTGTCTGTGATTCTGAAGTGCCATGCTCTTGTTTCTCCAAGGCGGTCACCCTCCTATTGTTTGTGAGTGTCATACTGAATTAGAGTAGAAGCAAAGATATGTATAAATGTAAGCACTTTATTTGGGGTCGGTGGGTGGGATTCACTTGGAATACAGTTTATTATTTTTAGGCAATGGAACTGTTCACAAATGGGAGTCCAGAGGAATCAGAATGTAGACGATTGTCAAAAAGAGGCATTGCTGGAAAATGTTTCTTATTATGGTGATCCTTTGAGACTCTTAACAAGATTATGCAGGCATCTGATATTGGCTGGCTTTGTAGGAAATGGGTCAGTACACATCTATGCTTTTTTAGAACTGATTTTAAAAAAGTTGCACAGCTGTCAGAAAGATATCAACAGGAGGCTTATGAGAGCCTTTTAAATGATTCTAAGTGGTCCTTAGGATTAAAATGTGTAGATGGTTTACAGATGTGGCCTTTAGTAGACTGCTTTCAGTCACAACAATAGTTTGTATGTTTAGAGAACACCCATTTTGTTGTGTGTCTGTGTGCATGTTTTTTATGTTAAGATGCCATGTAATTCAGCATGTGTGTCAGACTTATAAACTGTCTCCCTGGGAGGTGTATTGATGAAACCTACATGGTGGAAATGAGGCCTAGAGGAGACACATTTGCTTTAAAGGGGAGGAGAAAGGTTTTTTCTTGCTCCCCATTCCCAGTAAAAAGAGGCAGAGGATCTTTCTGGATAATCTAAGATGTATAAAATTTTCTGAAGTTTGAGTGTTGAACAGCTTGTGCTAAATGAGAAAAACTGAGAGATTTTTTTTTAAAAAAATAATGATTTGGTTGTTTATTAAATTGGGTGGTTTGTCAATATATATTTTTTTAACACTACATTCCTGTCTTTTAATAAACTAGTACTTTACAGTTTGTGTTGCTATGCTTCATGCTTTTTCATCTGCATGGGTGTTGCCAGCAGCATGATATTTCTCAAAGATATTGTATGTATTATTAACACACACACACACACATACACACCAAAAAAAAAAGCAAAATGAAACACTGTGTATGAACAAAATACTGTGTTGCCTGATACACAGATCCCAGCTCTGATTGAGAGGTGCTGCACTAGTAGACAATCAAAATCTATGGAAGACTTTTGGGGTGGGAGGGGATGTTCCTAAAAGATACAGCTGCTTTGAAACTGTTTTTATTCTTAAAAGTATTTATTTTTTAAATTGTCTAATTGAATACTTTTCACTGTTGATTTCACATTGTCTTGGTTTTGCATTTTTAAAATTTGCATTAGATTTGTACATGTAGAAAACCTGTGCGATTTTCATGATCTGACATCAGGAAACTGTAGATATGGTTCCTTAGTGTTCATGTGACCATTTACCAAGTGTCAGTTTTTAACTGAATAAATATAACATTTGAAATTTATGCTTCTTGTAGCATTAAGGTCTTCACAGTGTTTCTGGCTTGGGATACCTGCTTACATCTTGGTACTACATTTCCTCAGCAACAGGTAACACAGGGTCAGGTGTTTCATTGTGTTTACACAGTGTGGGTGGTGGAAGTACCTAATGTAAGTGGTATGGTAAATCTATGCTAAGTTGCTAATGTATGTGGACTAGATCTCCTGTTCACTGTGCCTATCCTGGCTAGATCTTCCTTTAGCTTCAATCCTATGTTCATGTAATGTCCCACTCAACTTGATTTGATTTGCCTTTCAAAAATAATTATTTAAATAGCTGCCACGTTTTACCTTCAGTTTTTGTAAATCTATATAAGGGCAGTATTTGAGAATTTATAAATCTTGTGTTGATGCAGTTCAAGTGAACTGAGGTAAGATGATTATAAATTGAATATATTTGGATTATGGTGTCAAATAAATAGCTTGCAAAATATTTTCTCCTGGAATCCTCCCCACTAAAATCAAGCTGGGGAAACTTTGCATCTTAATGTAGAACTAGTACAGCCAATACTAGTAGAAAACTCCAGAGTATGTTCCAGACCAGTGATTCCCAACCTTCAATCCCCAGATGTTCTTGGAGTATAGTTCCCAGAAATCCTAGCCAGCACAGCTAGTGGTAAGAACTTCTGGGAGTTTTAGTCCAAAAACATCTGGGGATCCTAGGTTGGGAATCCCTGGTCTAGACCATGTATGATGAACAACACTACATCATAGGATATGCCATGGAAGAGTAACTTTTATCATACTTCAGTTTACCCCATGATTGCACTACACAAATGAAGATCAGGGAGAGAAGCAGCCACTATTACTCAGCCTTCATTAAACCACATACAGTATATGCTGGCAACCTGTGAAGCTCTGGTGAACTCTGTGCCCAAGAGGGTTAAGGCAGTGCTGGAAAATAGTGGTTGCCACACAAAATATTGTCACTTTGTGCCCAATTTGGACATTGTCATTTAGGGGTGTACTCACTTTTGTTGCCAGCGGTTTAGACATAAATGGCTGTGTGTTGCATTATTTAGTGGGGACAGCACATTTACACTGTTATACAAGCTGTATACTCACTGCTTTACATTGTAGCCAAGTGTCATTGCTTCAATGTTGTCACATGAAAAGACATACAGTGGTGCCTCGCTTAATGAGCACTTTGTTTGACGAATTCGCTTAGCGATGGCTTTTTCGGAGCGATCTTGCGCTCCGTTTTAACGATGTTCCCTATGGGCGATTTTCGCATAGCAATGTTTGGGACCATGCTTTGCATAGCGATGACAGTTTGGGTCCCCCTGTTTCGCTTAATGATGGTTTTGACAGCCTCATGTTGGCTGTTTTTTATGTTTAAAAATGTTTAAAAATATTTAGAATGCTTGAAATCATAAGTGCACTTAATAAACCCTTTGTTAAACTAATTTGACTTTGTTCTGACTCTTTTTAAATTTGTTGTAATTTTTCCCCCCATTGAGATGCATTGAATAGGTTTCAATGCATTTCAATTGGGGAACCACATTTCGCTTAGTGGTTTCCTATGGCGATTTTCGCTTAAGGACGGCAATCCGTTCCCATTGGAACAGATTATCTAGTTTTCAATGCATTTCTATGGGAAACCGTGTTTCGCTTAGCGATGTTTTCCCATAGCGATGAATTTTTTGGAACCAATTAAAATCGGTAAGCAAGGCACCACTGTACTAAAATATTTATGAAATGTGAGGGGGTGTACTCACTTCTGTGATATACTGTATCTGATCAAGGTTCTAAGAAGCGCACCTTACTCCTCCTGCATGCAGTGATTGTTTTCAGCCCCTTTGGTTCCAGTCGTGATGGAACCCTGCGTGTAAAGAGGCAGAGTTGCATGCACATGCAAGAGCAAAGTTGTAAGAGGGGGAGGGGGAGCCCTGCCCAGCGAGGCTGAAAATTAGTTTTCTCAGAACCAGCGTACACTCTATTAGCAACTTCTAATGACACAGAAAACCAGTATCAACTGCCACATTACACTGCAGTTTACACCTGGTCCTTTGTTCCATGTAATCTTAGTTTCTTATCTACAAACTACAAACCATAATAATGGCTTAAATGGTACTGCGTATTGAAACAATTTCTGGAATATATTCAGTTGTTCAAAGATATCTTATTCTTTGGCAGTAGTTAACCTCTACAAAAAAGCTGTTGTGCTTATTACGCACACAAAGAGGCATCAGAAGGAGATACCAGCAGACTTGGAGAATTCACAAAGTATATAGAAAAAAAGAACCCTCTACAAAAAGCTGGCAAGATACTGACCATTAAATACTAAGGCTTCAGGGAAGACTGGATGAGTATAACTGAGGAAAGCCTGGCTTGCTAAATGTATCATTGTTACAGTCTCCATTTGTTTTACATTAATCTTTCAGCTATTGAAAATGGCATCTGATAGAAAGGAAAATTTGGTTTTTGTTCCCCAGTAAGACTTAGTTAAGAGTAGGTATACTTAAGACTATATTTCCAAAATGGCCAGTATACCCACATGGTGAACAGACTTCACAAATCTTCCTGTTAGTAGAACAAGGCTGTGTATGGATTACACAGCAAAACTCAATAGTAATGGCTGTAGCAAGAGAACTACTTAAATAACTACAGTATAGTAAAAACAGCACCAGCACTGGGACAAAAAAAAAAGCCATTTGCAAAGTTAGTAAAATTTTCCCCATTTCATTGTCATGTTTCACAAAATCAGTCATGTAATGCAGAAAATTTTACATTTGTAAAAAGGGAAGAAACACTGGCTGAAATCCTGTAATTTACTGTACGAAGTCACAACTAGAGTAGGCCCATTGAATCAGAGGAATTTGGCAAGTCAACTCCACCATATGTTCTACTGATTATTTGGGTCTTCTCTAGTTGCAATTTACTGTCCTAAACTACAGGATTTCAGCCAGTTTCATAATACTCATCAGTAAGAATGAGTCCCAGTACAATATTATACAACATCACAGTTTCAAAGTCATCTTTCTCAGCAAAGTCAATTGCATATTTTTAAGCAAAACATAAATTTGAGCTAGAATGGGTTCAGTTGTTCCAAGGAACAGTGTAATTTCCTTCCAGGAGCTTGGGAAGTTTTTCCACAACAACCCTTTGAATCTCACAGGCTTGCTATACCACACTGACTTTCTGGTTAAGAATCTATATGGTTCATTAAAGTATTACAGTTACAAAGCAAGAATGCAGATATGCTAAGGACCCTGTGAGGGAGGTAAAGCTAAGAGATTAACTAGTCCACGTTCACTCAATGGCCTGTATAGCTAAGTGGAATTTTGAATCAAGTTCATGGGTCTACCCTAACACTAATGATTATCAAATATTTCAGTTCAAATACCTCCTGGCTGTCCAGACAGGATTTTTCAGTAAACATTAGCATGGCTTAACAGATATTCTTTCATACAGCACTGGAAAGTCATCCAATTCAAAGATTTCTTGAACATCCACCTCATTGCATACAAGGCTGTAACATTCTCTATACCTTTAGGCCTGAAAATACATAATCCTAGATACGTTAGCCAGCAACTATCTTTGGATGCCACTGGGAAAGGTCTGTTAACCTCAATGAATAATAATTCCTAGACTAAGGTTCCAGGCCCTTCAAATTTTTTTAAAGCAAGTAACAGCACAAAATAGAGCTTTCGTTGGACAGATAATCCTGTCCTTCCCAGAAAAACTGAGAATTCTTTTCATCAACATGTGTACCTCTGAAAAGGAAATGTGACTTGAGACAATGTACTGCTAAGCAATAATAAGCACAGCACATAGTACTTTTTCTATCACTCTTGACTGCTTGAAATAGAAAAATGTATGTTTCTTTTTACAAAGTATTAACCTAGAATCTCTGTGTGCTGAGAACCACAGTAGTAAAAACAAAAATAACAGGTCACACTTAAAAAGGAATTTATTTTTCAAGTCATCTTTCCAGCCTGATCAACTAAAAGTAATGTTTACTCTTTGGCTACTTAATCTGGTTTCTTAACTAGCAAGTATAAAATGTGTGCTTAATTCCCCTATTAAATACAGTATAAAGGTTTGTGAAGATTACTTTAGCAAAAGTACTCTCTTTTCTACTGCTACTGTACTTTTCATACTTTATATGCAAGCACAGTTACACAGGCCTCAGAGGTATTTGTTTTACAGCAGAATCTGACATCCTGGACATAAACATTAGACTTTTCAAATGCGTGAACTATCAGAATGAACAATGTTGAATGCATTACTTAAATAGTTGTAGAATAGGAACCTTAATAAATCACAGAAAATTTTACAAGAACACACTAATGGCAATAAAAAGTAACATTTGTATATCTTTAAAAAAAAGAGCAGTATTTTTCTCTGAATTAAACTTACGTTTTGGTAACAGGTGACACCTAGTTTCTTCATATTCTTAAATATTTTAATTATTAAAAGAAAAACAATGGACAACTTAAGTACTTTCATCTGGAAATGCAGTATGCTTAGTATAAATACCAAAAAGGGATTTCATCTGATAAATATCTAATAGTGTATATGAAGACAGTTAGATTGAATAGCACACTGCATACCAAATATCCTGATTTTATTTTCAGAAGTCACATACAAAGCAAGTATTCATCAATTCATGAGCAGGTGAGTTAATCAGAAGGACAGCTCTTCATTTCCTGTTTTCTGATTATGCAATGAAGTGTTTGGGCTGTAAGATGAGAAGCAAAAGGTTCTTCCTAGTTATTTGTACCAGACGCTTCATAAGGTGACGCTGCTAATCACAGGGAGCAGCCAGTTGTCCAAAAGGGGAGTCAGTGGTAAGCCGTAGACAAAGTAGCAAACCTCACAAAATTTCAAGAGGTGGGTCTCAGTTTACCTGAGTTACAGTAAGCAAACATCATTCATGTTCTAAATATATAGAATAAACAGATTTTCAGCACAGGTTGTGCTCACGAAGTGTTCCCAACTAAAAGTTTCTATAAAAGTTACAGCATCCCATCTTCAGTGCTTGTTTGATGAAGTATCTGTACATTATATACAGGAATACAAGAGGAGATGTGCTGCTTCTCATTCTCACTCTTCCCAGGAAAATATTTTGTTAAAAGCCAGCATCTGGACTTATAAATAGTGCAGAGAATGCAAATGCCAAGAAAACAATGCCTCCTATGATTGTTACTGTGGAAAAAAAAAAAAGAGAAAACAGTTAGATCCTGAGTAAATGAAATTTAATAGTGCATCCCAGAGCTCTGTTTAATCCTGTAAAGATCTTCCATGCCTGCATGTCTTCTCAAAGCACTTAAGCAACTTCTAACCAAGATTCAGCCATATACTTTTGCATCTACCGTGTTTCCCTGAAAATAAGACAGGATCCTATATTAGCTAAAATAAGCATTAGGGCTTATTTTCAGATGTTTTATTTTTATTTTGTTCATGTACCACAATCTACATTTCAAATGCAGTCATTTTTTTCTCATTGCTGAACAATGGTGGAGGGTGGGGTTTCACTTAAATGGGGCTTATTTTGGTGGTAGGGCTTATATTACGAGCATCCTGAAAAAATCATACTAGGGCTTATTTTCAGGTTAGGTCTTATTTTCGGGAAAACAGGGTAACGCCATCAGAATCTGAACTTATACCCCCCTCTCTTACCAGTCTTCTGAGGAGATTTTTAGAGCATGTGGGAGAGACTGCAGAAAGGAGACAGTTGCTTCTGGTGCAAGCAGTGGAACCCATAGTAGTCCACCACTTGACTCTGGATCATGATTCCTGAAGCAGCATGCATGACAGCATGGAAAGTGGGAGAGGGAGAATCCACAAGCACTAAGCTGATAGTCTTGCTCAAATGAAGTAACTTGTTCTACCATCGCTATGGTAGACATTAAAGCAAGACTTTTAAACAGTGGACTGTCAGTATCAGCCTTGCTCCCTTTCTGAGGATTTGTACTAGAAAATGGGTTGCCTGCAGGGAGCAGGCAACATTAGAAAAAGGAAATGGCGAAACTGATACAGTCATCAAGATAAATAGGAACTTTGTGGCAAAAATTTAGGGAAGTTACCCAATCCCATGTCAGACTATTAGACCGAGGTAGGTACTGTTGACAAGGATGACTGCAGATGACAGCAGTGCTCCAGTGTCCCAGAACACAGACTTTCTCAGCTCTATTAAGAGATGTCAGGGATAGAAGCTGAGATCCTTTATCATGCAAAGTATGGTTTCTACTGATGAGCTATGATCCTTTCCAAACTATGAACACTGCCTGTGGTTTCTCCACTTAATTTTGGTTTGCCCTGACCATCCTAAATGTGTATGTTCATGCTTTGGTCTTCATGTGCCTATTAAATTGAAACCACCTAATGGGAACAAATAGTATGAGGAGCCAGAAATACCTGCCATGATCAGCTTTCCAGCAACTGTAATACTGCTAGTGTAAAAGTCAGTCTGGATGATGAGGTGACACTAAATTTACACTATTAACAGTATGCTGTACATTACTCTCTACTGGTGCCTCTCAGCACAAACATATACATGTCACATTTCCAAGGGATACAGCAGGTGAAAGTCCAATAAGTCAGTCCAAAGTCAGAAGTCCGGGGAATACAAAGCAGATGCCAAATTACCAAAGCCAAAATACAAACCATAGAAGTCAGAGTCCAAGAGCCAAGGGTCAAGACAGCAGGAACGTGGATACAAGCCAGAGAATCTTTCACAAGCTTCCAAGCCTCTGGGTGCAGATTCTACAGCAGCAGCAGTCATCTAAACACTTCATCCTGCTAAAACTCAGGGCTGGTTGACCTGATGTTCCTATGGGAAGCATTCATGCGAGCCTCAGACCATCGTGTCATGAGTCTTTGTCGAAGCTTATCCCTCACTCTGGCTACTGGGGGAGGAGAATCTGGGGGTGATTCAGTTGGCTGCGATTCTGATTGCCCAGCATTTTCCTCAGCTGTATGTAATTAACCCCTCAGATTCCACATCTTCAGCTGAGCTCATGACAATGCACAGGACAAGGAGCACTTGCTCTTGTGCAGCAAAAATCAAGCCTTCAGTTTCTTTTTTAAGAGTTCAGTTTTAGTCATGCCCATGTTGAATTATAAACATGCTTTGCATTAATATTTCTCGGGTATTGTCCATGTAGTGTTTTTTTCCAACTGTTTAATTTTTTCAAATTGTTGTGCCTTATATTGAGCCTTTGTTTCTGTTGTTTTCAAAATATTCTCCATTTTCACCACCTTCAGTAATTTTTCTCTGCTTGTACTGATATACTCATTTAGGCTTCTTTTCCCCTCGTCTACTACTTGCTCTATTTGCAGAAATCCGTGGCCTGTGATTTTTTTTTTTTTTGTGGTAAATATAATCTGCCCACATAACTTCAGATGTAGTGCATGATGCATGTTCATTAGTTTCCATGGTTTTCGATCCAATTATTCTAATTCATTTTGAGTCCAATCTATTATTCCAGATGGGTATCTAATTACAATCAACCCTCGACTTACGAACTTAAGCCATTCCAGAAGGATGTTCGTAAGTCAAAAAGTTTGTAACTTGAATCAGCATTTCCCATAGAAATGCACTGAAAACCCATTAATCCATTCCGGCTGGTTTTGGTTCTTAGGTCGAGGGGTGGTTTGTAAGTCAAAGCATTAGTTCCCTGATCAGGAACTGATGCAAAGCTGGTTAATCCGTTCCTACCACTAGGGGCAGAATGTTTTCCTTTTTTCTTTTTAACCTAAGATGTCATAGGTTAAAAAAAAGACAAGAAACCATGGAGGGAACGAATGAACCCTGTTTAAAAAGAACACTTTTAAAATCAAGCACCTTTTACACCAAAACAGACACCTTTTCAACCAAGCACCTTTTAAATCAAAACAAGCAGCTTTTAAAGCAAGCAAGCATGTTTGTACCCAAGCAGGTTTTAACTCAAATTGAGCTCCCTTTTACCCAAGCACCGTTTAACCCAAACAAAGCACCTTTTAAACTAAATTTTACATTTAAATTGACAATACCAGGCAGTCCCAGGTCTCTCTTCCCACTCTAACTGCTTGGACGAACGAGGAAGTAGACAAGCAGCCTCTTCGCTAACTGAAAGTTCAAATTTCCTGCTTTCCCTGCCTTCCCTGTTATTTATTGTTGTAGTAGTAGTAGTAGTAGTAGTAGTAGTAGTAGTAGTAGTAGTAGTAGTAGTAGTAGTAGTAGTATTACCAGATAGACGTTTTAACCAAAAACCTAAGTATCCAACATCATCATAATGCATGTATAACAAATTTCTCAGTGTGAAAATCCTCCCCTTCTTGTTTCAGTTTCCAAGGATCAGAAAAGTTACTTTTCAAGAGCTTACTTACCAGTCCGAACAGAGATTTTTTGTGCTATAATTCGCCCTCCAACCACTGCCAGGCCAGTACACAAACTATGCCCAACTGTTCCACCCACAGCTACACCATAGGGATCCTGCACAAATAGAGAATATACTTTTTAGTGCTCTTTGAATGCTGTAGATTATTAACAGCTTTTTCTGAAGAAGGATGTAATGATGCATAAACACACAAAGCTACTATCAACCAGATCAAAAGTTAGGATTAATTAGGCTTCATTCATTCATTCATTCATTCAATCATTCATTCATTCATTCATTCATTCGACAAATGTTTCCTGAGATGCGGGCAAAATTACATTAAAGGGAGTTGAAAAATAATGAGTTCATTTGAAATGTCCACCTGTGTTTGATTAGAAATTGTTTTGTTTTTTAAAGAAGGCTTGGCTAATTGCTCAGCAGGGTCCAAGTAACACAGAAACATGTGAGCTAGCTACTATGCTTTCAGAGATCATCAAATGATATTACAGCTATCATATTCAAGTGCAGCAAAAAACTACAGATATTCTCTTACCTCCCTCAGTATGCCCACATCTGCCTTTATTTAAGAATATGGCGAGAAAGGAACATCGAAATCACTGCTGCATTCTTGTTCTACACTGATGATGTGACTAGGGTAAATGGGTAGGTGAAAACAAACTGAGAAAGGTGGGGGTTCTCCATACATAGCTGCAATAAACAGCTAGTACTAGAACCCCCCTCCCAGTAAGGCTAGAAGAACCCCAAAGCTACCATCTCCAGGGAGCCCATCAGGATTCTTTGAGGTTACCTATGCTAGTCTGTTAGCCATGATGGCCAGCACTCTTTTACAGCATCAGCTAGCCCAATGGTCATTGAAACAACCACTAGCAATCTCTAGCATTTAGAGAACATGAGATACAAGGTAAAATATTCAAGCAGTATTCTCCAATTTTCTCCTAAAATGTCAAGAAATGCCATATTCCACAACTTCAGGAAAATCCTTGTATTGTATTTTCTTTGGTTTGAACACACAGACAAATATTAAATGAGTGTTATACCGGAGGTGGCATCTCCTATAACCTCTCAGCCCAGGACCCATCAGCCCTGATCTGGGCCTCTCTAGAGGCCACATAGAATCATTATTGCATAGGCTGCTGTCTTTTAAAAAAAATCAGTAAAGGATTATTTAGCTCTGAGGCTGAGACAAAAGCCGTTACAAACTTTTTAGCATTAGCAGAAAAACAAATATTACTAAAGAAAGAAACAGGAGGAGAGACAGAATACATTTAAACTAGAGATTAGTTGCTGGAAGGAAGAACGCTCACAGCGGCAGACAGAGTCTATCACGTTAGACTTTAATTCAGATGGGCCTCAGCTACCTTAGCCAACAATGAAGGGAGTTGTGATTTAACTACATGTGAAGGGTTACAGACTCAGAAGCGGTTGAGCAAGCTACTGTCCCCACCTGCAACGAACAGAGGATCTAATGGGTAATTGGGCTAAATAATCTTCATTTCTGGTTTAATAAACAACAGAGAAAAAAACTCACTGGAACACCTTCATCCTGTGTTTCTTCTCGGTAATATAACAAACTGATTCCAGGAATTTAAACTATAAGCCACTGCTGCAATATCTCAGTGAATCTCCCAGTCAAGGGGTGATTAGCGCAGTTCTCAAAGGACAAAACTGCTGCAGTTCGTCTTGCACAAGCTCATGCAGCAACACCAATTCATTTGAAGAAAGGCAGGAACACATTAGCTGTTTCTCACCTGCCTCCAATTTCAGTCACCACAAGATCTGACAACACACTGTCCTGCTTTTGTTTAATAAGCTTCATAGCTTATTCACTAAGGTAAGATCTCAAAGTAAGTTACAACAAAGAGGGAAAACAATAAAATTCTTGAATACCACCATGGTGTGCATTTGCTGAAATCCTGTTGCACTTGGTACAGTATAAAGCTGGGGGCTCCAAACTACGGCCTGCAGGCCACATCCAGCCCACCTTGCCTTTTTATCTGGCCCAGCGGGTGAGCAGGTGCACGCACGTTCGCACAGGTGGGTGGGAGTGAATGTGTGTGGGCAGGAGTGCATACAGGCAGGAGTGTGAGGGCATGCATGCAGGTATACACGCATGTGCATTCAGTCCTTGAAAATCTGGAACATATATGTTGTGGCCCTCACTCTGAAAAGTTTAGAGACCCCTAAAGTTACACCAGGAGAAATTCACAAGAAGTCATATCCAGTCATTCTTTGTGCCAGGTTGCACAATAACACAGAGAGAACTGCTTCCTGGATATGACTTGGTGCAATGTTTGCAATGGCTTGTGCAACATCAAGTTACACAGGCACGGCTATGCAATAGGATTTTCTCCAGTCTTTCCAAATGGCTCTCACTAACGGACCTTATATTTCTTCATTTGTTCTTTCTTGTTCTTCTAGCTTTCTGTTCTTATTCATTGTTGTTGTTGTTTAGTTAAGTCATGTCAGAGCATGCCAGGCCCTCCTGTCTTCCACTGCCTCACGGAGTTGGGTCAAATTCATGTTGGTAGCTTCAATGACACTGTCCAGCCATCTTGTCCTCTGTCATCCCCTTCTCCTCTTCCCTTCACACTTTCCCAACATCAGGGGCTTTTCCAGAGAGTCTTCTCTTGTCATCAGATGGCCAAAGTACTGGAGCCTCAGCTTAAGGATCTGTCCTTCCAGTGAGCACTCAGGATTGATTTCCTTCAGAATGGACAGGTTTGTTCTTGCACTTCAGGGGACTCTCAAGAGCCTCCTCCAGCATAATTCAAAAGCATCAATTCTTTAGCGGTCAGCCTTCTTTATGGTCCAGCTCTCACTTCCATACAACACTACTGGAAAAACCATAGCTCTGACTATGCACACCTTTGTTGTCAAGATGATGTCCCTGCTTTTTAAGATGCTGTCTAGGCTTGTCGGTGTTTTCCTCCAAAGAAGCAGGTGTCTTTTAATTTCATGGCTGCTGTCACCATCTGCAGTGATCATGGAGCCCAAGAAAGTAAAATCTGTCATCACCTCCATATCTTCCCCTTCTATTTACCAGGAGGTGATGGGACCAGTGGCCATAATCTTAGTTTTTTTGATGTCGAAGGGGGTTCTTATTCATACATGAGTATAAAAACAGCCAATATGCAAGACATTCCTTGAGTGTTTGTTGCAATGATGGGACTGATGCTGCCATCACATTTGTTCCTGCACTGCTGCCAAGCACACTGGTACCATAATTTAATACAGTACTACAAAACTTTCTGTAAGTAAGCCAACTGTAAAATTAGAATGGTAGGCAAGTTACAGCGGCAGCACCTAGATCACCAAAGGCAGGGAGACAGATGTGGCTTAATAGTTAAACAAAAACAAAATTACTGGCTGAATTCCATTAGTAAGTTACAACTAGTGTCAGACCATTGAAACAATGTAAGTTACTAAGAAGCTGAGTCACCAAATCACCAGTGATTCAAGAGGGCTACTCTAGTTGCACCTTATTACTGGATTTCAGCTACTGTATCGTATGAAGTGGTATAAAGAGAACATGGATGAAACTGACTTAAAGTGTGATTCTCAGATATAGTTTGTTAAGATCAATTTCCATGACTTCTCAACAAACAACTAAAAGGAGCATGGAAAGCCCTCATAAAAGAAATTAAATGGCAGAGACAAGGTACAAGAGAATATTATTTTAAATTGGTCTTGCAAGCATGAACATGGGAGAAGAGAACTGCCATGCTAATTAAAGATTCATCCCCCTTTGAGGTCATAAGATTGAACTTGTCTACAATTAATTAGAGCTTGAGAATTTTGGTCTCTCTGTTTTAATCATGTTCATTTTTTAAAAAACAATTCACTCACCTCTCTCGCTGCCAGAACTATTGTGGTCAACTGAGAGCGGTCACCCCATTCTGCTAAGAATGTTAAAGTTAAGGCTTGCACAAAAATTGGAGAAATAAAATGCAGCCATCTTCTCTGAGGTATAGCAGGGCCTGTTCCCATTTCCACATCTCCAGGGCCATTCAACAGTTTCGTTCTCTGGAGCTAGAAACAAAAAGATGTCATAAAACATTGCAAGTTGACATAACCTTTCAGGGCATATTAGCAGAGTTGCAGATGTTTTACTGCTGCCTATTTAGACTATTCCATTCAGCATTTCCATTCTTCCAGCATTAATTGAAAATGCACAGTGACCACTCTGAAGCAGCAATTTTACGATAACAAATACTAAAGCTTATGCTGGATTTCAGCATTCCTCCTTTTCCCATCCAGCAAGGAAATAGAATGTATCTAAAGCAATGGCAAGCAAAAGGTTGCCTCCACCCCAACTGCTAAACTTGCAGAAAAAGATTAGGGCTTTTTTAGAGCAAAAAAACATGGGGCTCACATGCCTTGTTTCCAAGATTACTAACCACTCCTGGAACCTCTCAAAAACATTACAGTGGTGCTTTGCATAGCGAGGTTAATCCGTTCCGGATTAACCTTCGCTATGTGAAAACTTCGTTAAACGGAAAGCAAAAAGCCATTGGAAAGCATTAAACTTAGTTTAATGCGTTCCAATGGCTTCCCTACTCACCGTTCAGCGAAGTTCCTCCATACCGCCGCCATTTTCGCGCCCTCGGTAAGCGGGGCACGAAACTGGCGGCCATTTTGGAACCGCCGATCAGCTGGGAGGTGGGCTCTTGCAAGGAGGGAGCCCCCTCCCTCCTCTGCAAGAGCCCGCTGCCCAGCTGAAACGCCGGCCGGCTCTTGCGAAGGAGGGAGGTGGAGGTCCCTGCTCTCCTTCGCAAGAGCCTTTCTACCCAGCCTGGAGGCGGGCTCTTGCAAGGAGGGAGCCACCTCCCTCCTCTGCAAGAGCCCGCTGCCCAGCTGGGTAGAAACGCCGGCCGGCTCTTGCGACGGAGAGCGGGGACACCTCCCTCCTCTGCAAGAGCCCGCTGCCCAGCTGGGTAGAAACGCCGTTTCTACCCATCCTGGGCTTGGATCCACCCCGTGCTCAGCTGAGTGCGGGGCAGATCCAAGCAGCGGTGGCGGCAGGGTGGGGGGGTGTCCGGACCCCCCTACCCTGCCCCAGCCGCTGGGAGCCGACCTGCGCCGCATATCCCAGTCATGCTAGCATATCCCAGTCATGCGCGGCAGCGCGGGGTGACTTCAAGCGGCGGTGGCGGCAGGGTGTGTGTGTTCCGGACGGCTTCCAGTGCTTTGCCTGGAAGCCTTCCGGATCCACCCTACCCTGCCCCCGCCGCCGCTGAGAGCCTTCCGAGCTCTCAAAGGGGTTCTCTCCAATGTCGGAGGTGGGCCCTTTGAGAGCTGGGAAGGCAAAATGTCGGCAGTCGGGTGGTGGCTTCGGGGTCCTTCCGAGGCCGCCGCCCACTGCCAACATTTTCCCCCAGCTGAGCGGCGGGAGCAGTCCTTCAGAGGCTCCCGCCAGTCAGATGGGGGAAAATGGTTGCCTATGGGGAAAAATCGCATACCGCCTCGGTATGCTGATTAATCGTTAAACGGTGCACTCGTTAAGCGAGGCACCACTGTATTAGCCACAGAAAGAAGTCTCACCTCCACACCTTCTTATTTTAAAGTCATATTCTGTTCCCATCATGGTGCCAACTCTGGAAATAGAATTGGTATCTGGCAGATCTCACAAGGCAAATCTGGCAACTAGACTGTTGGCATTACCTATCTTTTATCGAAAGCATGTAAGTCACAAGTAAGCTGACTTTAAAATGGAAACCAAAGTGGAATCGCTTTAGCTCTTCTCAGGTGAAGCCAGTTCAGATCTCAGTTAGCGATTCCAGAAAAAAAAGTAGTGAAGTATCAAAGCAATTCTGGAAGTTGTTACTGTTTCAAGTTGTGTTCCTTTTTACCAAGAATAAAACAACAATGAAAATATTCTAAAAAACAGACAGGGGAACAGGGTCTGAATAATGTACTTCCAAATCCTAGCTCTTTGTAAATGTTGTGAGTTTTGTATACAAAACATGCACTGAGTTATGCTAAAAGTAATAATCCAAGAAAGGCTATGTGTGTGCATGAGAGTGCCCTAAGCATAAAAACCTACTGATCCTAAGAGGGTTTTGTCAACCCAAGCTACAAGCAGAATCAACTGTCCAAATGTCACTAAAATAACCGCAGTTCTCCATCTGCAAGTCAAAACAAAGAAAGAGGTATAGTTTTAAATTCCATCTCACAGTTTCCCGCTCCTGCTCTTATAGCACAAATCAGTTTCTATCAGTTGTAAAACATACTACAAGGTATTTTTTGCTATGCAAATGTTAACCACATAAGAACTTTGAAAGTTTGTTGCTGGTATCAACTATATCCCTGCTGAACAAATTATAACCAGAAACAGTTGCAAGTAAGCATCCAGATGTGTTCCCTTATCGTCATCAAACTATTCTACAGTGTTTTCATTTGTTCTACACACTTTTAACTTACTTCTTCATCTTTCTTCTTGAGTTCTGCTTGAACCTCCTCTAGCTCTTCTTGTCCCTCATCTGCACTCATCTTCAGGCCTTCCCGAAGCATTCGAACACCAAAAATTGCAAAGAGTGCTGTTGATACATAGTAGGTATACACTCTGGGGATCACTGTGGTGGCATATCCAAACAAAACTGAAGATGAAAGAGTAAACATCTCAGTTTGGATCCTGTGAAGTACAATTTGCTTATTCCCTCTGCCTAACAGAATTCCATTTACAGACTGGATAATAGAGAATTACTTTGTTAAGTCAGAAACATGCTGCAAGGTAGGGAATGTTACCAAGGCCCTACAAAAAAACCCAGTGTTGTATCTCTAATTTGCCAGTTCTGCAGGACTTTATGCAATACAAGTAGTTTACAACAACTTCCACCTACAAAGTCAGCAGCCAGATTTTGCTTTCTTAGGTAAAAATCATTCTGGTGGCTCTTTAGAATATACAAACAATTTCACATACAGAATTGTACAAAACATCACTTACAAATGAAAAAGACAGCATTATCTCCATATTGTAAAAGTTGGACCGAAATGCTTTTCTGAAACCACACAATGAGTTCCTGCCACTGCCAAAATTTTAACTGAAGGACTATTTTATTAATCTTATTACTTTAGTCTTTAACTGCACTAGAATAAGTCACAACTAGACTAAGGTGATTCGAATCGAAAAAAAATAACAAAACTCAGATTTAGTTATTTTGGCCATGTCATGCAATCAACATCACTGAAGAAAGACGTTATGCTCAGAATGGTCAGTGGTAAAAGATGACAAGAACACCAAATAACCTGTTGGTTCTATGTAATCAAAGCAGACACCGGACAAAATATAAAGCAGCCAAAAAGCTGTACAAGATCAGAAATCATGGAGAGAGCTGGCTCATGAATTCGCCAATGGTCAAATATGACCAAATGGATAATTTGATTTGATTCAGTGGAAGAGTTGACTTGCCAAATCCTCACTGATTCAATGGATATACTCCAGTGCATCTAAACAACAGGATTTCAGTCATTAAAATGACTGATAAATTTTAGCTAATCTAAATGAAATAGTAGGAACAATTATTGCTTCTTTGGACGACCATTTCTGCATATACACAACACATTCACACAGATCTAATGTTCTTGCATCAGTCCCTTCCACAGTACACAAACCACTTTTTGAACTACAGTAATGTGACCTCCTTCAGCAGTAGCAGCAGCAACTGCTAATAGATAACTCCAGAAAGCAAACTGGCTGTGCAAAACTTTCACCTAGCACTCAAGTACCATGTTACAGTCTGTGATTTTTGTATGTATATGTTGGGACACTGAAATCATAGCACTAACCTGATAAACATGTCATCAGCCCCAAGGCAAGCATAGCACCAGCCAGCACTGTTAAGCGATTGTAACGCATTGCCATGATGGCTGCAATAAAGAAAGTCTTATCGCCAAGTTCAGACACAATGATGACAGATATGGCAGCCACAAATGCATGGATAAATCCCAGGTTAGTCTTATCAGCAGAGTCTTCACTAACAGAATGGACAGGAACAACTGGAGTAGGCCCTTTCTGAAAAGAAAAGAAGAAGATAAGACTGAGTTGAAGGAAAACAGTTATAAGTCTACAATCTTCCTTTTCACATTTTCTCGAGGACTCACATTCTGATGGTGACTAAAACTAATGTTTGCAGCGAACACTTATTCTGTCTAATTGCTTTAAATGAATCTTTCTAGCACATTAAAAATATTTTGAGATTAACAGACTAACAGAAAGAAATCAAAATTATCAGCTGTCCACATTCTCAATAATCTGGTAAACAAAGAACTCCAGTTTTCTTAGTAGAAGAACTACATATTCTGCCTAGGTGTGGTGATATTCTAACAGATGAATTTTACATGGTCAAAAACATACTCTTAATGTTTCAATAATTTTTTGTAAAATTTTAATAGCTACATGTTGGTGATCTGTGATTGTAACCAAGTAATTGTTTGATCTGCCTTTGTATTTGTTTCTTCTTCCCAATAAACCTGGGAGAGTTCCTTTATTAAACTATATACCGTATTTTTCGCTCCATAAGACGCACCTTTCCATAAGACGCAGAAAACCGGAAAATATAATCTGTTTTCTTCGCTCCATAAGATGCACAGACTTTCCACCCCCCTGTTTTGTGGGGAAAAAGTCCGTCTTATGGTGCAAAAAATGCGGTAAATACTGCCTTGAGTACCTTCACCAGGAGAAAGGTGGCATAAACATGCAATAAACAAACAAACAAACAAGTACAGTAAATCCTAAAATTAATTCAGCACCTGGTAAAACCTAATATGAATGTCAGCAGCCAGTTTTACATCTTGGAATTATCTAAATGGAAACTGTAGCTTAGGACGTCAGATACTTTTTTACCCTTGAATCCTTTTTCTGTTCTGCTCACCACCTTGCCTGATGAACAATTCTGAGGAACTTCAGCTGCACACTATTGTGTAGCCTCTCAGTTAGGCTAATAAAGGTATCACATCCTAACATGATTTTTTTTTCAATTTTGCTCTTCAAATTTAACACATTTTCCGATTAGCTGGTTATATATGGGTACTGCTGAGCAAGTCCAGTTCTTCACTAAGATTCCATCTGAAGTTTCCTTTAAAACGTTAGCTTTATTGCAAGAGGAAAATTTACAAAAGTTAGTTATTTGTCTTTCCTCTAGAACGCCTATGTGAATGGGTGGACGGGTGCATGGGCAGACATGCAAGTGCTCCTGCGCATGTGTGAAGGGGTGGGGGAGCGCTCATGTTTGTGCTGGCGCCCCCCACCGTTTCACGCATGCGCCCGAGAGAGAGAGAGCGTGCGTGCAAGAACAGTGTCCCACCTTCCTCAGAGGATCAGCTGGTCCACGGTCCCAAAAAGTTTGAGGACCGCTGCTCTAGAATGAGGTCACTCAAGAGACTAATGGAGAAACTTCAGAAAGAAATATTTCATGGAAAAAGATGGTGTCATTTGCATTAGCTGACGAATGTACTAAATAGCTTCAAATGTGTATCAGAAGAATAGCCATGTTTGCCTACCACAACTGCCTATGGCAGCAACAAGGCTAATAAGCCTCATGTCACAATAAATGTATTGGGTTTTGATTAGAGAAAGGCACAAATCTCAGTTCAGAGGTTCATGCTGGTTCATACACACTACACTACATACAGGTGCCGTGCACTCCCATCCTCTGCCTCCCAGGCTGGATCACCAGCCGACACATGCTCCTCTCCTCCTCCTCTTTGGCTGTTTGACCAGTCAGGAGCATGGTCAGGGCTTGAAAAATCCACTCCTCCACTCGTCTGTTCCACTGAAATCGCTGTTTAGCGAAATCATCATCTAGTGAAAAGCTTTTCCCCATTGGAATGCATTGAAACCTGTTTAATGCGTTCCAATGGGGAAGAATCGTCGTTGTCTAGCGAAGATTGGCCATAGGAAAGCCGCTTTGCAAACCGCAGATCAGCTGTTTAAATAGCTATCTTGCGAAGCTTAGATCCCGAAAACACCCATTTTGCAAGTGCGGAGGGAGCTGTCAAAATCGTTGCCTAGTGAAAATCGGTTTGCGAAACAGGGACCAAACATTGTCCAGCGAAATTCCCCCATAGGAATCACTGTTTTGCGAATCACTATAGCGACCGCAAAAGGTCAATGTCTAGCGAAAAAACTGTCATGCGGGGTAACTGCCTAGTGAGGCGCCACTGTAGTCCCGTGCTGGAGAATATGGAGATTCCCTGCTCCCAATTTCAATTGAATGACCTGGCTCCTTAAGAGGCTAGGCACTTTTGCTTTCAGTTTTATTTTTGTTGGAGACATTCAAAAGAAAGGTACAGTGGTGCCTCGTTTAACGAGTGCCCCGTTTAACGATGAATCCGTATAATGATTCATCTTTTGCGATCGCAAAAGCGATCGCATTACGATGTTTTAAATGGGGGGAAATCGCTTTGCGATGATTGTGGGGAAGCGCTTCCCCACGATCATCACAAAGCCCCCACTGATCAGCTGTGTTTCAGGGGGTGGAGAGAGCGAGCCCCGAAGAACAGCTGATGGGCGGGTTTTTTTGCGAAGCTGGCTTTCGAGCCAGTTTCGCAAACCCCTCCCCGCCGCCCATCAGCTGTTCTTCGGGCTGCCTCTCTGTCCGCTCCCATCTCCAGCCCGGGTTGCCAGGGCTGGATATGGAAGAGGAGAGAGAGGAAGCTCGGAGGGGTTTGCGA